TTCCAGTGAATGTTCAGCACCTTTGTCAAAGATAAGGTGGCTTATTGTGTCTGGAGTAGTTTCTGCATTTTTAAATCTGTTTCATTATTCTTTGGATCTGTTTTTGCCAGTACCATGCTGTGTGTGTGTGTGTGTGTGTGTGTGTGTGTGTGTGTGTGTGTGTGTGTGTGTGTCTGTGTGTGTGTGTGTGTCTGTGTGTGTGTTTGAGATGGTGTGTTGCTATTCAGTTCAGGTTGGCCTTGAGCTCACTTTGTGGCCTGGGCTGGTCTCAAACTTGCAATGATCCTCCTGGTTTAGCCTCCCGAGTGCTGGGATTACAGGATTACAGATGTGTCCTACTATGCCCAGTTTGTCTCTGTGTGTGTGTGTGTGTGTGTGTGTTTGTGTGTGTTTAATCACAGTAGCTTTGTACTATAACTTGAAGCCAGGGGTTGTGATGCCCCGTCTTGACTTTGTCACCCAGGGTTGCCTTTGCTATTTAGCTCTGTTCTGGTTCTGTATGAATTTTAGGATTGCTTTCTTTAATTCGATGAGATATGCTATTGGACTTTTGATTGGGATTGCATTGAAACTGTAACAGCTTGGCCAAGTATGGCCATTTTTAGTATATTGGTTCTTCCTAGCCAGGAGCATGGGATAGCTCTCCATTTTCTAATACCTCTTTAATCTCCTTTTTCAGAGTACTGTAGTTTTCAATGTAGAGATCTTTTACATCCTTTATTAGATTGATTCCTAGGTACTTCTTTTTTTTGGATGCTATTGTGAAAAGTGTTGTTTCCCTGATTTCTCTTTCAGTTTATTATTCATGTACAAGAAGGCTATTGATTTTTGAGTGGTAAGTTTGTATCCAGCTACATTACTAAATTTGCTTATTAAACCTAAGTTGTCTTTTTAGTGGAGTTTTTGGGTTCATCTATGTAGAGTATCATGTCATTTGCAAATAATGATAGTTTCTTTCTTTCCTGTCTTTATTCCTTTTGTTTCTTTCTCTTGTCTAATTGCTCCAGCTACAGTTTCCAGGACTGTGTTGAATTAGGAGTGGAGACAGTGGACCTCCTTGTCTTGTTTCTGGTTCTAGGGAGAGAGTTTTCAGTTTTTGTCCATTTAGTGTGATGTTGGCTGTTGGTTTATCGTACATGGCTTTTATCAGATTGAGATAATAAAGACCATTTATTCCAATTTTCTGTGAGGTTTTTTTTTATCATGAATGGGTGCTGGACTTTGTCAAAGACATTTTCTGCATCTATTGAGATGATCATACAATTTTTTGCCATCAACTCTGTTAATATGGTGTATGACATTTATGGATTTACATATGTTCAAACATTCCTGCATCCCTGGAATGAATTCCACTTGATCATGGTATATACTCTTGGTGATTTGCTGCATTCTGTTTGCTAGTATCTTTTTTGTTGTGGTTGATACCAAGATGAAACTTAGGACTTGAACTTTTCGCTAGAGCCACTGAGCTAAATCCCCAGTCTCTCAATTCTGTTTTTTTTTCTTTTTGGTACTGGGAATCAGACTCAGGACTTTGAGCTTGTTAGGCAAGCGCTGTATCCCTGAACCATATCCTCAGCCCTGTTTGCTAGTATCTTACTGAGGATTTTTGCATCTACATTCATTAGGGAAATTGGCCTGTAATTCTCTGTCTTAGTTGGATCCCTCTCTGGTTTTGGTATCAGAGTAATGCTTACTTCAAGGAATGAATTTGAGAGTATTGCTTCTTTTTCCATTTCATTAGCGAGTCTGAGAAGTAGTGGTGTTAGTCTTCTCTAAATTTCTTATAAATTTCAGAGTGAATCAGGCAGAGCCTGGGCTTTTCTTTGTTGATAGGTTTTTAATTACATCTTCAGTTTCATTGATTGATAGTGGGTTGTTAAGGATTTTTATATCTTCTTGATTCAGCTTTGGTAATTCATATGTATCTAGGCATCTGTCCATTTTTTCTGTATTTTCCATCTTACTAGAAATTGCAAGTTTTCAAAGTAGATATAGATGATATTCTGAATTTCTGCACTCTTGTGATTTCACACTTTTCATTCCTAATTACATGTATTTGAGTTTTTTCTTTTGATAAGGTTGGATAAGGGTTTCTCAATTCAGTCTTTCAAAGAACCAACTCTTTAATTCATTGATTCTTTGAATTTTTTAGTCTCTAATGCATTAATTTCTGTTCTGATCTCTATAATTTCCTCCATTGTACATACAAAATTTTGGCTTAAGCTGCTCTTTTTCTGAAAGTTTGAGGTTCACCTTTAAGTTGTTTATATACACTTGCTTTGTTTTCCTGATATGGATATTTACTGCTATAAATTTTCCTCTTAAGACTGCTTTGTGTTTTATAAGTTTCAGTATGTTATATTATTGTTGTCATTCAGCTGTAAAAATTGTCTCATTTCTTATTTAATTTCATCTGTGACCCATTGGTTGTTCAGCAGGGTGCTATTGAATTTCCATGTGTTTATGAAGTTCTTGCAGTTTCTTGTGCCTCAGACAGTCTTCCTTAGCCTCTAGCCCACTCCACCTCTGAGCTGCAGACCCAGCCACCTCATCTGGGGGTTCAGAGTCTCCTTTGGGCTTTAGCTCCTCCATTGTTGCCCAACCTGGGATGCACAACTGAGAACCATTGAGAATGCCATGTGGTTATTTTTGTGCTACTGCACCTGACTTAACTAGTTACTACAGCTCACATGTACTGAAAGGGTAACATGTTTACTCTCTAGCCCTTGTATATTGTGGCGAACCTCTCATTGTTTTGTTTTCTTTCACTAGAATGTGAACTCCATAAAGAGAGATCTTTCTTTTGTTCACTCATTCGTGTATCCTACTATTTTCTCTAAATATTTGAATAGAATAAAAAGTGGATTACTTTATATTATATAATGGAATGTTTAATTTTCAAAATATAGGCAACACTTAAATACTGTGCCATGTGAAGTATAGGTTTGTTACTCACATTTAACAATAGGATAAAACTGCGATTGAGAAAATCAACCAAGGTTATGCAGTTGAATACATGCTAGATCTGGGATGTGATCCTTGGAAATCTGACTTTAGGATTGGTTCTCTATAAATTATGCTTAATGCCTAATCTATACTGCCCTTTTTTTTTCGGTTTTTTTTTTTTTTTGTTTTTGTTTTTGTTTTTTTTTGTACTGGGCATTACACCCAGGGCCTTTACACTGAGCACTTTCCAAACATTTTTTCATTATGGGATAGGGTCTCAGTGAGTTGCTTAGTGAAGCATTATGGTGCCTGCCTGTAATGCCTGGGGAGGCTGAGGCAGAAGGATTGCCGTAGGTTCGAGGCCACATAGTGAGTTCATGGGCCAGCCTGAGCTACAATGAGATCCTGGCTCAAAAAATGAAACAACAGCCAGGAATTTAGCTCAGTGGCTTAAGTGCTTGCCTTGTAAGTGCAAGGTCATGAGTTCTGTCCCCAGTACCAAAAAACAAAGACCAAGAAAATACCCCCCCAAAACCCCCTAAAACAAAGAAGTAGTAAGTTGCTAAATTGGCCAGGCTGAATTGAATTTATGATGTATCTGCTTCCTGCTTTGCTTCCCAGAATGCAGGAATTACAGGCGGGTGCCACCGTGCCTGATTCACACTGTCTTTTATAGAGGATACTTGGTCAGTTCTGCCTGGTGTGGTGGTGCATGCCCTGAGCGTTGCTATGTTCAAGGCTAGCCTGAACTACAAAGTGAGGCTGCCTCTCTCTGTCTCTTGTCTCTCTCTCAAAAAAGATAGTTTTATTATGTATAATGGCATAATTTACTTTAGGAGTTTATGTGTCATCTGTTTTTTTTTTGATGCTCTTGTCATCAGACCTCAGTTTTGCCAAGAACAGGCAAAAACAGGTTGAACAGCTCTGTGCTTTACAAAACTATATTGGACTACAGAAAGCAAGGCTAGGAAATACAATGTTAGCATTTCTCTTTTTGATTACTATCTGTTGTATTTAACCTAATCAGGTTTAACCTTTTAAATGAGTTTTGAAATTAAAATTGGTAAACTAGAGCATAAATTTAATACAGGTATTGGCCGTGTTTGAATATTACATTAAATTTTAACTTAAAGCAAGTTTCTTGATCATATGTATATTTTAAATATCTGGGTGTAAAAAATTAGAATTACTTTGAGAATAGGCATTTTTCTTTTGGAAATTAAGGAAATGATAGTGTATTTCTTCTCTTTTGTATTTTTCCTTCAAGTGCATTTACTTTTTTTATTATTTGATGTCCTGAGTTTCCATAACTAAGGATCAGTTTAGGGTTAGGTTAAAAAACACAAACTTCCCTAAATTATTTAATGATGTTCTAATAAACCTTAAATTCTTTTTTTTTTTTTTTTTTTTTTTTTTAATTTTGAGACAGTATCTCACTATGTAGTTCAGACTGGCCTTGAACTCACTGTGTGTCCCAGTCTGGCTGCAAACTGGCACCTGTCTTTGCCTCAGCCTCCTGAGTGCTAGTATTACAGGCATGTGCCACCTCGTCTAGCTATAATTATGTTCTGAGCAGTTCAATTTCCTGTTGACGTTAGAGTCTAAAGAAACCATATGGAATATTTTTGAATTTTTAAATTGTGAAATTAAAGAACATTTTGAAAAAAGAAAAAAGCACTTTATTAGCCTAGCACAACTATTTTAGCATGTATCTTTCCAGTATACGTGCTGATATTTATTCTATGTACATGCAGTAGTGGAATTTGCAGTTTGGAAGAAACTAGGTATAACCCTTTTTACTTAAAGAAACTGTGTGATTTGTGCATCATTTTTTTGTATCAGATCCTTCAGAATGCAAAGCAGCATCTTTCTGGCCTAATACAGATTCCAATTATACCATTATAACATTATGAATTTCTTTTACTTCTGTTTTAATATAACCAGGTATAAGGAAAACATCTTGCTATTAAATGGGAATGCATTTGAATATTGGTACACTGTTATATGTTTCCATATATTTATTGTGCCTTTCTTTTTACATTTTTATTCAGCTTTCTAAAACCAACTTTTCCAACAACAATGATTTCCGTGCTCTTCTGCAGTCTTTGTATGCTACTTTCAAAGAGTTCAAAATGCATGAGCAGATTGAAAATGAATACATTATTGGCCTACTTCAACAACGCAGCCAGACCATTTATAATGTACATTCTGACAATAAACTCTCTGAGATGCTTAGCCTCTTTGAAAAGGGATTGAAGAATGTTAAGGTGAGTTACAAAAATTGGTATGTAATCATCACAACTTGTGCATTTTGTTGTGTCATTGGCAAAATTCGTTAATTTATAATAAGTGCCTGTATGTTAAAATGTTCTTTCAGTTGTTGAAGACCTAGGAAGACTTTATCAATAGGTGTGAGTGCAGTGGGGCAGCTGGCATTGTGGAAGAGAAATGCACCTCAGCTCTGAGTGCAACAAGAAATTGGGAGAGGTGAATAGCCGTGGAAAAATGGTGGGGTCAATAGATGGTGATTACCAGGAGGAAATGTCAAGGCCGGGAGGATTCTGGCTAGATCAGCTCTACCATAGTTTTGCTGAAGGCAGGCCAGGGTGATAAGATACTTAGGATGAGTGGGAAGGAAAGAGGAATTTGATTAGATGTTGAGATAGGTAGAAACCTCAAGGTAGATTTTCACTAAACTGACTCAGCAGGTTTCTAGCTAAAACTGGACTCTGAAGTCGAAGTTCAGGCCGATTGAGGAGGGAACCGGGCTTAGGTTTTGTTACAGGTTTTATCAGTTGTCTCTAATAAGTTTTCAATAAAATTCTAGTGAATGCTACTCATCATGACTTACAGGTGTTTTTGTAAGTTGAAATTTTAAGTACCATAAATTTGTTATATTCTGTTAACATTTGCTGAATTCTAAAGGAGAGTTATCACTGGAGATACTAAAGGTAAAACGATTACTTAAAGTGCATTTGCACTCTGTAAATTTTATCTTTTATAAAATTAATGGTGGCTCAGTAGTAGAGCACTTACCTAGCATATGTGAGGACTTGAGTGTGTCCCAGGTACCATTCAATAAATAAGTACAATGTTTGCTGAATTTTTTCTTGCAGGAAGCAGGGTAAACAGAAAAATTTTGGTTGTATAAAATAAAGTTAAACATATTTTTGATGTAGTTGAGGATAATGGTATAGATTTTATTAGATTTTATTCTTAATTACTGTTGTTAATATCTAGTTGTCCCTCCAAAGCCTTATGAGCTCAAATATGGGGCTTTAGAAAGTTGATTAGATTATAGTAGATTATAGATGTTTTGCTTAGGCAGGGCCTAGTCACTGGGAGTTGGACATGGAAGGGTTTATCCTCCCTCCCTCAGCTCCTCTCTTTACTTTCTCTGCTTCCTGCCTGCCTTGCTACAAGCAGCTCCCTTCCACCTAGATCCCTCCACAATGCCTTTCTGCCTTGGAGCCGAGCAGCTGTGAACTAAGACCTCTGTAAACTGAGCCAAAATAAATCAGTCTTCCGTTAATTTATGAATCTCAGTAATGAAAAGGGGACTAAGATTTTGGTACCAGGAATAGGGTTATCACTGACTTTTCTTGAGCATGTGGTTTAGACACCTTTACAGCTGGTTTGCAAGAGGAGTTTGGAAAGGTTTGCAGATTTCAACTGGAGAGTAGCCTTAGATGACTGTGAGCTAAGCTTAATGGGGGTTTTAGGTTGGAGTTTGGAAGTCAGAATGAAAATGTAACCGGTAAAAACCAGGCTCAAGAGGTTTCAGTTGGCAAGACAGATTCCATTGACAGTTGGACTCCAGACCATGTGTGTTCTTCTCTGGTAGAAAATTTTTCTATATTTTATTCCTGCCTGGATACTTCACAGGCAATTGAGATTAAGGACAATGAATTAATTTGTGGGTAGAAATTTCAAGGCTGTCCAATGTTGGGGCTGCGGTATACATACTGTTGGGGACTTTTTAGCCAAGTTTATACTGAAAATGAAGAGTCCATTTAAAAAGTTACCAGCTTTGCCAGAAAGTGCCTACAATGATGGAGCAGAGGAGAACTTGGTTGATGAAAAGAGTAACATTAAAAAGAAGCCAAGTGTTGGGCATTGTGGTGCATGCCTATAATCCTAGTACTCGGGAGACTGAGGTGGAAGGATTGCTGTGAGTTCAAGGCCATCCTGAACTGAATAGTGAAACTCTGTCTAGAAAAGGAGGGGGAAAACAGCCAAGTACTATGAATTAGAACATTAGAAAAAATGGCTTAAGGGCATTTCATAAGTTCAGAATTGCAGAGGGAAAAGACTTTGCTTAGAAGGAGCCGTAGGTCATCTTACTCAAGAAGAGCCCCTTAGGTAATTGGTTCCCTGGGGTTTGGTTTACAGTGCCCAGCCATCCAGGCACTCAGAGGCCTCTACAGTTGTAATTCAAGGGGGCTTGGCTGCTCCTGGAGCTTGTGGCAGATCTTGGCATCCTCCATATGGTGCTGGTTTTACAGACGTGCAGAATGCAAGTGTTAATAAAATGCTTCTACCCAGATATCAAAACAAGGTATTGGAAGTGAGTAGTGTGCCCCTGAGAGGGTAGTGTGTGATGCTGTGAGTGAAGCGGAAAGTGTAGTGGAGGGACACTGGGAAGGTAGAGAAGCCAAGGGTGTGGAATGTGTGAGGAAAAAGCTACAAGGAAAGAGCATAGCCATCCCAAGAGAGAAGCCATGAGAGGAACAGGAACTAGCCACGCTGTAGGGGCAAGTCTGCCCAAACCATTTGAAGATCAGGTGTCACTTAGGTGCTGTACACAGAGCTAAGGACTTAATGTTTGCCTGCTAGGCTTCAGTCTTGCTTTGGTCTTATTGGTTTCTGTTCTCTTTCTCCTTTTTGCAGTGGGAATGTTTACTTGGTGCCATTGTATGTTGGCACTGTTTAATTTCTTTCTGATTTTCACAGGGTCTTGAGTTTGCCTTAAGTCTTAGAGGTGACTTCGGGTTTGGATTTTACAGCTGTGCTGGATCTGTTAGGACTTTGGCAATTCTTAAAGGTGCACTAAATGTATTTTGCATAAAGAGATACATATGAGTGTTTTGGAGGCCCAAGGGCAGGGTGATGTTATTTGTATCCTGGTGTCCCTTCAAACCTACATGTGCTGAAAAGTGGGGGTTGAAAGATAATGTAGGATTAGAGCTGACTTGCTGTTAGGCGGTAGAGTCTGATCAGAAGAGGCAGGTCACTGAGGTGGTGGCCTGGAAGTTTCTCTTCCTCCCAGGCTCCTCCCTTCACGGTCCGTGCTTCCTGTCTGCCATGCTCTGAGCAGCTCGCCTTGGCCCTGCCCCTTTCATTGTGCCTGTCTACCTTGGAGACAGCTGATTGTGGACTGAAAGGTTACAGCCTGTGAGCCAAAATAAATCTGTCCTCTGTTTTATGGACACGAGGTATTGTATGCCAGCAATGAGAAGATGACTCAGATAATTACTTTTATATATTATGAAATATTTGAAATTTGGTCTTGCTTTCCTTCTGGCTCAGTGAGCATAGACTTAAGTAACAAAACCATCCAGTGACTGTATGCCCACCTTTCACTTAGAGATTCTGTTCTACAAAGCTTCACTACTGCGCAGCAGGAAAGAGGGTGGGTTGCAGGGAAAGAGGAGGGCTGCTGGTAGGGAATTCATAATCTCTAGAAGAATATTTCAGGACTTGGTAGGGAGGTAGGAGGTTGAGTGGGGTAGTGTTCTGGGTACTGATGGAAGAGAGATTCACTTTTCTATTGAATATTCTTTGTACTCTGAGTTTTTTTATATTCACATATGTGATGTGACTAGAAATGTGTATGTTTAATGAAATGTGGTATGTGTTTGAACACACCCCACAGCATTCTTGCCCCTATTTGAAGCAGTATTGGAAGTTTTTTTGTGTGTGTCTGTTTATTTGCTCTGTCACAGCTGCCTTGATACTTTGAATTGTTTCAAACAGTTACCTTGCGTGGTAGTTGCTTTGAGGAAGAGCCTGAAGTCACACAGGTCTGCTGAATAAGGTAGATGAGGATGCTTTAATGTTTTTATGAGTCTGCCGTCTGTTGGATGGCACTTGGCAGCAGTAGGCACCGTACTTTTGATCACATCTTGTGTAGATACTCACAGAAGTGGATTTTAAATAACTGCTTCAGAATGTGGCAAGAGTAACGGGATAAGTGTGTGTTACAGTTAAGAGCCAGACTGGTGGCCAACTGATGGCATATGTGCTGCAGTAGGCTGCTTATATTGTTGAAAGCGCTGAAAGGTTCATCACCACTGATTTAGACTTGCCCCCCTAAAGTCTCCTGTGTTCAGAGGTGGTGCTTTTAAAAGGTGATCAGATCATGGGGATCTGTACTTAAACTCCGCTAGTCCACTGATGAATCTGGACCAAAACGTGCAGTTAGGAGGTTGGGGGCTGCTTGGAAGAGGCTGGGTGCTATGGCTCTGACCTGAGAGGTGTATCCCTCCCTGCTTGCTTCCAGGATAGCAACAGCTTTCCTCTGCCAGACTTTCCCTGTGCCCTCCCTGCCCTGGAGCTGACAGAATCTGGACTGAGACTTCTAGAAACTATGAGTTAGAGTTAGCCTCGCCTCTTCGTCCCAGGTGTTAAGTGTTGTGTCCAGAGGCAAGAAAGTGGCTAAGGTGGAAGCAACGGGGAGTATTTTGAAGTGAACTAATGGCAGTGTGTCTTTTATTGTAATACTTTTTAGTGTAAATAGGCATGCATTTTTTTGATTTTTATTTCCTTTATTGACTCCCTTTGTCTTCCATTCTTCTCTGCTCCCTCCATCTTTTGATCATTTTCCCATTTGAGAAAGATGTATTTTGTTTACCCCATATTTTTTATTTTGCTATTTAAAATTTGGCTTTCTCAGATCAGAGATACTGTGTGATATTTAAGCTTGTGTGTCTTTTTTTTAACATATGGTCCCTTTTCCTACAGATGATTCAAATTTATCTTTCTTTATGGCAGAGTAATACTTCATTGTGATAAATAACACATTTTCTTTATTCCATATATCTGTCAGTAGACATGTAGGTTGTTTAACTGTTATAAATTATGCTGTTTAAACATGAGTATGTATGCATCATTGTAATAAGTCTTTTAATTCTTCCAGGAAGATAGCTAGAAGGGGAATAGCTGGGTTGAAAGGAATTTTAATCTTTTGAGCAATCTCCGTACTGATTTCTGTAGTGGTTGTACTAGTTTACTTTCTCACCCACAGTGTAGGGAACCCCCTCCTCACAGCCCTGCCAGCATTTGTTACTATTTGATTTCTTAATGATGACCTTCTTTCTAGAGTAAGACGGTATCTCAGTGTTTTTTTAATTTGCATTTCTTGAGTGGCCAGTAGTGTTGAACATTTCATCATGTATTAGCTATTTGTTCTACTTTTTCCCTAAAATGTCTGTTCATTTCACTTGCCTATTTTTTGATTGATCTTTTATTTAGGGGAATCTACTTTTTTGGAATTCTGTATATATTCTAGTTAGTAGTTCTCTGAGAACTAGTTGGCAATGGTTTTTTTGGGGGGGGGGCATTCTGTAGATTTCCTGTCCACTGCTGAATGTTTCTTTTGCTATGCAAAAGTTTTTAAATTTGATATAATCCCATTTCTTGATACCATTTCCTGTGCAACTAGAGTTCTTTTTAGATAGTCCTTGCCTATGTCTATGACTTCAAGAGCTATACATATTTTATCTTGTAGCAGGCTGTTTTTGTTTTGAGTTCTTTGATCTGTTTTGATTTTAGTGTAGTACATGGTGGTGACAGATATGGGTCTAGATTCAGTCTACATGTAGATAACCAGTTTTCCTACCCCATTCATTAAAGAGGCGCTCTTTTCTCCTATGTTTTTGATTCCTTTGTCTAAGATCAAATAGCTGAATGTGCCTGGGGTTGTTCCATTGATTGTCATGTCTTTTTTGTTGTTGTGTTTTTTATCTTTTTGAGACAGTCTCACTGTGTAGTCCTGACTGGAGTTGAACTCACTTTGTAGCCCAGGCTAGCCTCAAACTCTCATTCCTCCTGCTTCAGCTTCTCGAGTGCTGACATTACAGGCTTGTGCCTTCACTCCAGGCTCTCATGTCTGTTTTTGTGTCTGTGGCATGTTCTGTTCGTTTGTTTTGTTCTATATTTTTCCCTGTGGCTTTGTAATTTCAAACCTGGGATTGCAGTGACCCCTGGTTTGCTCTTACTGACCAGGATTGCTTTTGTCATTCTGGGTGTCTTCTGATTCCATATAAAGTTTAGCGTTTCTTTCTCCAGCCTAGTAAAGAATACTGTTGATATTTTTGTTAGAATTGCATTAAATCTTTGTATCAATTTTGGAAATGTGGCTATTTGGACTATTTTCCTTCTAACTATCCAGGAACAGGGGTAATTTTTTCATTTTCTGATGTCCTCTTTGATTTTTTTTTCCAATGCACTGTCTTTTTTTGTTGCAGAAGTCTTTCACTTTGTCAGGTTAATTCCTAAGTATTGAATTTTTCTTGGTGTTATTGTGAATGGTCCCCCCCCCCCCGGAAATTTTTCAGTTCATTATTAGTGTACAGGAATGATGTTGATTTTTGTATTTGTTACATTACTGTTGCTTTCATTATTTTGTGAGATTTTTGGGGGGGATCTGTTCAGAGAATCATATGATTTGAAAATAATGTCAGTATGACTTCTTCCTTTCTTATACATACCTTTCTTTTGTTTTCATTGCTTAATTGCTCTTGGCTAATGTTTTGAGTACAGTGTTGAACCGGAGTGGTGATAGTGGATATCCTCGTCTTGTTCCTGATTTTAGAGGAAAAGCTTTCAGTTTTTCATCCTTTAGTAGACTGACAGTAGTTTTGTCATCAGTGGCTATAATGAGATAAAGTCCTTCTATACCTACTTTCTTCACTTTTTCTTATAAAGGGATATTGGGTTTTGTCAGAGGCTTTTCTTGTAACTGTTGAGATGATCATATGATTTTTGTCCTTGCAACTGTGATGCATTGTGTTTACTAATTTGTGTAGATTGAACCATCCTTGTATTCCTGGGACAAAGCCTTCTTGGTCATGGTGTATGATCTTTTTGATGATTTGTTGCATTGTTTGCCAGTATCTTGTTGAGGATTTTTACATGTATATTCATTAAAGATATTGGTGTACCTCTTTTTTTATTGTTGTTGTTGGATCTTTGTCTGTTTTAGAGTCAGGGTAATGTTAGCTTTTGGAATGACTTTGACAGTACTCCTTCCCTTTCAATTTCATTACAGAGCTTGAAGAGTTTTGGTGTCAGATCTTACATGAAGTATTTGGTAGAATTTAGTAATAAACTCATCCAGACTTGGGCTTTTCTTAGTTGGTAGGGTTTTTATTTGTACTTCAGTCTCACTGCCTGAAGAGATTTGTGGGCCAGATATGGTGGGTTAGGCCTGTAATCCTAGCACTCAGGAGGCTGAGGCAGGAGGAGTACCATGAGTCTGTGCTAGCTTGGATTGCATAGTGAGTTCATTGTCAGCTTGCACTACATAGTGAGACACTGTCTCAAAAAGCGGAAAAAAAAAAAAGGAAAAAAAGATTTGTAATTCTAACCTAGCATCTGTGTGATTCAGAGACACAGACACAGGCAAACTAAATACTGACACATAATTAATACCTGCTAAATGCAATAAGTGTACCATCATTAAAATAGGAAAGAATTCATTGATGACAGCATAAACTTAACTAAACAATAAAACTTAATGGTTATACACATAAAGAGCGTAGAAACAGGAGAATGCAAGAAGTTTGAAAATTAGGATGAGGAGATGAGAAAAGTGACATAAAAGATTCTATTAAGCATATAAGGAAATCAGTAGAATTAGCTAAAAGTATCAGTAAAGAAGAAATAGAAAAAGCAGTAAAATAAAAAAATGAAAATAATAAGAAAGGAAAAAAAAAAAAAAGAACTACATCCCGAACTGCTAAAAGAAAAAAAGAAGAGTCCAGATTCCTGCCTGTTTTTGAAGGAATGCTTTCTTTCTAGGATCTGCAGGGTTGGAATCTAGTAGACATGAGAGGAAGGATAGGAGTGACCTGTGACCTGGAGGACCTACTGTGACCTGGTTGTATTCCACACTGGTGGTTTTGTGTGTGAATTCTGAATCCTGCTTTGTCTTTCCTGCTTGGTACGGGAAGTCAGTGGTATACACCATGAGGCTGCAGTCGGTCTGGCAGCTTTACTTCCCATGCTCCTTTGTGCATCCCAGGTCACTGCTTTCTCTGCCTAACCTTCTGCCTGTGGTTCTCAGAGGTGTGGTCTCTTGCTGCCATGGCCCCTCTGTCCATATACCCCGGGCTGTGGCAACCATCAAGCCAAAGTATATGCTCATGTTGGCAGGTGGGAAAAGCAAACAGATCAGTGAGTTCTGTGCTGGTTGCAGACAGCAGAACAGGGCTTTGAGCTGACTGCTATATTTAATGCCTGTGCTTCCAGACCCAGGCCCCTCTGAAAGTCCTCCATGCCTACCTGGCTTCTGACCATTGGTATGGGTTTACTTGTCCTTGCCAGCCTGAGCTTAAAGTTCTCAGTGGTGACTGTGTCTGGCCTGCATCCCCTCTGCAACTGTCTTCTGGCCTTCTGCCCTGTCCCTGTAGTAAGTGACATCAGGAGCCCTGAAACAGAGTTGTTCTGTAATTACCCTTAAATAATGAACTTCTTCCCAGAATGACTCCTGATTAAACCCTGTCAAATATCCTGGATGCTGCTCTGGATTTCTCTGACTCCAGTCTTCTCTGGAAAAGGAATTATTTTCCTTTTTCTTTTTCTTTTTTTTTTTTTTTTTTTGAGACAGGGTCTTGCTGTGCAGTTCAGGGTGGCCTCATTATGAGCCCACGCTAGCCTCTAACTTGTAGCAGTCCTCCTGCTTTAGCCTCCTGAGAGCTGAAATTGCAGCCATACACCACCACACTCAGCAAGAATTATTTTCAAAGTCAAGGCCCGCACTGTTTTCTCCAATTTCCAGTACTCATAGCCGGTGCTGCCAGCTGGCTATTATTTCTTGCTGGGGCCTCTGACCTCCAGGCTAACCTGGTTTCAGTGGAGACTGATCTCCCTTGTCTGGGGGAGCTTTCTAGACTGCTTCATTCTTTTCATTGCTTGTGCTTTGTTTCTCTAGCTTCTCTGTAGTTCTAATTTTCCTGTCAGCTCCCTCCTGATTCCTGGAGATCTATTTTTTTTCTCTTTGCCAAGTTGTTTTCCAGGTGCCCAAGTGTTTCGATGCCAGATTGTGAAAAGGCTGAATTTTGCTGCTGGTCTTTATTCTGCCATGTTTAATCCTTTTTGTTTTTTGGAGACAGAGTCTTTCTTTGTAGTGCAGGCTGTTTTGAGTCACTGTGTACCCCAGGCTGGCCTCAAACTCACGGTGAACCTCCTGCCTCAGCCTCCCAAGTACTGGGATTACAGGCATGCACCACCATCCTTGGCTACTATGTTTAATTCTTTAGCTTTTGTACTAAAAGTACAGAGACCATTTTGTTATTTATTAGTGCCCCCTGCCCTGGCCTGAGGTTTCTTGTCACCTTTTAAGACTTACTTTCTTGGTGCCAGGCATAATATAAATAATGAACAAAACTTTGATGGCATATCATTTTTTGATTCCAGAATGAATATGAGCAGTTAAATTATGCAAAACAGCTGAAAGAGAGATTGGAGGCTTTTACAAGGGATTTTCTTCCACACATGAAAGAGGAGGAAGAGGTAAGCACGATTTTTTTTCCCATTGTGATTTAAATTTATAAAATTTTTACAATGCCATTTTGCTTTGGAGTTTCGAAATAATGCATAGGATGGTAAGTCCAGTTAATGGAGAATAGACTTTAGCTCCTTTTGGTAAGTGAAAACAAATACCAGGGGGAAAATTAGTTATTAAAAAGGTTGTTGCCTTTAGTGAATGAATAATTTGGTCTCATTTACTCCAGAAATGTATATTTTCATGTGTAGTTTTCACTGTTATACATGAATAACCTTTTATATCCCCTAGTGTCTTTTCAGAATCTGTTGATGATTATATAAATTTAAAAATATATTTATGCTGAATTTAAAGACTTTAATAATTTATTTTTGAATAATGGAGTTTAGAAATCAAGTTGTAGTTTTAAGTTTATCAGTCTTCTGACAAATGTATATGTATTAGAATATCGTTGGGTGAGAACAACATTTCCTCTCTCTCTACTATGGGATGTGTATCATGGTAAGATACAAAGTATTTTATAAGAAAACAGTTAATTTTTTAGCTGTTATTGTAGTGATTCTCAACTGTGGTTTCACCTTATAATCAAATTGGTAAATTAAGAAAATATACAGATGCAGGGCTCTAATTCCAGCACTCAGGATTGCTGAGCCAGGAAGATCACACATTTGAACCTAGCGTGGAAAACTTAGTGATTTTATAAAACCCTGTCTCCCAGTAAAATGGAAACCCTGTCTCATAATGAAATAGAAAAAGGGCGGGGACTGTAGCTGTGTGAAGTTCCTGGATTCAAAACATAAACGTGCAGGTAAGCCCTTTGGGAGCCAGTTCAGACAGTGGGATGAATTGACAGGGTCGTCTTGAAGGCTCCCTAGCTCCCTGCGGTACAGCGCGTGCAGTCAGCATCGTAGTCACTGGGTTACTCCAGTCGTCCTCCTTTTTGGTTCTTTTTTTCTTTTTTGAGGTAGGTTCTTGTTATGTTGCCAACACTGGTCTTAAACCTGTGATTCTTCCACCTCAGACCCCAGGTAGCCTTTATTACACGTGTGCACCACTGCATCTGTCTTAGAGCAGTGGTTTTCAATCTGTGATGTGCTTTCCAGTTACCTATGAAACAGCAACAACAAAAACTTTGGTTCCACCTGTAAAACTTATAAATTGAAGGTTGGCACTGAGCATCTATTTTGCAGAAAAAATCTTCATGGATAATTCTCAGAGGAACCAGTGCACTAAAATACTGATTTGAGGGTGTATCTCCAAAGTTCAGAAACAGTAGTGGTCAATGTCCCAGTAGACATGTGACTTTTGTTTCCAGTGTACTGGGTATCATTCTCATTTGAGATAGGGGCCCTGTATTACAAATTTTGTAAAGGAAAATCTTGTCCTGATGCTGTAAAATTTTCAGGCTCTGATTTATTGGGGAAACGACTTAAAAAAGGACTTTGGGGGACCATATTCTTTGCTTCTTTGAATAAACTTAATAGTAATAATAGTAATAACTGAATTTGTGTCTTTGACATATTTGGTCATAATACTACACCTAAGATACTAACTGTTTTAATGTCTACAGAGTGTAGAATAAAATTAAGTAGCTTCCCTTGGAATGTCTTTTAATTTAGGTTTTTCAACCCATGTTAATGGAATATTTTACCTATGAAGAGCTTAAGGATATTAAGAAAAAAGTGATTGCACAACACTGCTCTCAGAAGGACACTGCAGAACTCCTTAGAGGTCTTAGCCTGTGGAATCAGGCTGAAGAACGACAGAAGTTTTTCAAATATTCTGTGGATGAAAAATCAGATACCGGTGAGAGAGTGTATTTAGAGAATAATTTATTAGCTCAGTACCATTGACAGTGTTAGAATTTGTAGATTTTATCTGAGGAATAATTTAAATCAGTTAAAAGCTGTTTGTTTGTACTTGTAAATGTAATTGGAGAACTGGGTATGTGGCACATTCCCCTAATTCCAGCACTCAGGAAGCAGAGGCAGAAGGATCTCTTTGAGTTTGAAGGCAGCCTGAACTACAAAGTGAGACTCTGTCTCAAACTAAATAAACAGAACATGTAACTGAAGATAGTAGGTTCTATTTTAAATGTAGTGTTTTAATAATTTAACATGTACTCGGGCCATATGCAGTGCAGTGTTTCTTGGATAAATTTGTGTGTGCACATTAATAATTGTTTTTTGGTCTAATCAGAATTGTTGAGAACTACCACGTACAGAACACCTTTGCAGTATCCTCAGACTTTCCGAGCTCCACTTACCATAGTGGCTGCTTTTATCTTTCTCTGTGTTTTTCATGACTTTTCAAAGCTGTAGTTCCTGACCTACTGTGGTCCAACTTACAATTTCTTGACGTTACAAGAAAGATGGTTCACATACCATAACTCTGATACTGAATTTCATCTTTCCCGGCCACCTGTGTGCGGTGTCGCGCTCCCACCCAGCCCTTTGGTCACAGGGAAGGAGGTGCAGTGGTGCTGCAGCACCATGGCGCTGAGCCGTGAGGAGTTTCACAGCCTCGGTGCACTCAGTGCATTTTCATCCTTGGATACCTTCTGCTGCTGATGGGTTTACTGGGACGTAACCCTGGTGTACGTCAGGGAACACCGCAGTTTACGTCCATCTTTCCCTACTTGCCATTCTTAGTTTATACCTGGTGATACTCAGGGCACTGTAGGAGAGGGGGTGTTTTTTTATGTGTAGTTAATTTGCAAATACAAGTAAGAAATGCAGATAATGTGTGCTTGCCTTTTTTTCTTAATGGGTTACTTCTTCCTTAGTTTTTCTATTTGTCTTCAATAGCCTTTCTCTTTAAAACACTCTTCAATAAACAATTGGCATCCTTAGGCTAATAAAAATCTTCTGCTTTTTCTAGATGGGCAGTAGCAGTGTCATTGCTGTTCAAATAGTCTACAACTTTTTTTAAACTGATCTTTTCTCATTTTACTTAGCAAAGTAGCTGAGATTCATGTTGAAACAAAAATGATTGTATAAGTTAGGCTATGATTAAACCCATAAAACTTGTATGTAAGCTTTACTGTGTAAGGCAGCTTGTGCCTTAGCTACCAAGCTTAAGACCTGTTGCATCTGGTTTAATTGTAGTTATAACTTGAGATTTAAAAGCATCACACTTATTATATTTAATTTTCCCAGTCCTTCAAAGCAAATTGTCTTGCGTTGTGTCTTAAGATATTTTACATTTAAAAAGTGTTGCAGATTTGGTCATAGCATTTCTATATTTAAGTTGCTTTGTAAAGATAACTCAGATATATGTAATGTATGAATGGAAAATGGGTATGTCATTCAAAATGCCTTGCAGATCTCGTAATCTGGCTGACTCTGCTACTGTTGATTTAAAGCTGTGTAACCTGTTTGGTTCCTTTTTCAAATGATGCTACTTATACTATAAAGTGAGTATTGTTTTTTCTGTGATGTCTTTGTAAGAGGAAGTCAATTCTGTGTTCATTTTGTAGCTCTCACTGAAGAAGTGTGATCTGGGCTGTGATAGTTTAACTACGAGTTCTTGACAAGCTCAGTATCTGCATGTTACCTCTATTAGGTGTTACTTCCTTTTCACATCCTGTAAGCAGAAAGGAATTAACTTCAGGCACTGTGCTTTGCTTATAAAGCATAATTTTAATTTCTTACTACATTTGCTCTTACAGCCTTTCCTGCTAAAGTTTTTTTTTTTTTTTATAAATTTCAGAAGCAGAAGTGGCAGAGCACTCAACAGGTATAACCCATCTTCCACCTGAGGTAATGCTGTCGATTTTCAGTTACCTTAATCCTCAAGAATTATGCCGGTGCAGTCAAGTCAGCACCAAATGGTCTCAGCTGGCAAAAACTGGATCCCTTTGGAAACATCTTTACCCTGTGCATTGGGCCAGAGGTAGGTAAATGGGATTTTTAATTTGTTTTAAAAATATGTCAGTACATTTTTCTAGATGAATACTCATAGTCATTTAGAAGGGTAGGAAGAGAAATTCTTGAGATCATTGCCAAAAAATGCATTTCATACTTAAAAGATATGTTCTTGGTATATATTTCAGAAAAGATAGCAGTGCTGAAGTAGCCATGTGAATTATATGATGTCTACCATTGTCTTCAAAATAGTAAGAAAAAAACAATTGGAAAAGGGAATTTAAAAAATTGGAAAGACTGATAATTATTGAAGTAGCTGTTGAATGCATGGGAATTCGTTATAACAATTCTTTCAGCATTTGACTGGAGTTTTTCATAGTAAAAGGTTAAAAGTAAATGTCACAGATTTTCATAACTGTCTACATAATTAGTTTGGGTATTCTAAAAGTACAGAATAAATTCTATGAAGTTGTGTGTGTGTGTGTGCGCGCGTCTGCACACGCGCGTGGTTGGTAGTTCTCATTCTCTAAATCATAGTCTCATACCCATTTCATTGTGGTAAGTTACTTTCACATGTGAACAGTTAAAAATTTTTTTCTTGAGGATATAATGCAGTCATGGGTTAAATGCAAGTAATATGATCCACGTTTTTCTGTCACTGAAGTAACACTTCTATGTGAGTATTAACTCAGAATTCATATGAACTTTTAAAATAACTTTCTCTTACATGTGGCTGTGTGACTTTTAACATGCAAATATGAATGTCACATCATTTTCTCTGACTAAATTTAAGTCTTGAAACAGTTTGTTACAGTAATATGTAGGACTTTTTTTGTGTCTCTTGGTTTGTTTGTTTTTGAGGTAGGGGCTTGTGGTGTTACCCAGGCTGGTCTGTAACCTGTTACCCACCTTCTTCAGTGTCCTGCATAGCTGGAACCACAGGAACATGGCATCTCAGCTTGTAGTGTTTTAAAAATAAGTGGTAGATACTAGTTTTATTTATTCATTTTTCTGTTTGTTTATTTGATACTGGGAGTCAAACTCCAACCTTGTGCTTGCCAGGCAGGTGCTGTGCTTTTGAGCTACATCCCCAAACCTATTTAATGTTTCTTGAGTAAAGCTATTTGGAATATTGCAATTGACTTGTATAATTCAAATGAATAGAATTATCTTTATGTGAATTAATTTTTAATAGGATGATGGAATATTGAGTAAAAAGGCAAATATGGATGTATGAAATACTTTTACTAAGGTTTCTTTCTTATCAAATGTGATTTCCTCTGCTAACTTTTATGAAGTCACCTGAATTTTAAATATGGGGTTTTTTTTGTTTCTAATATATGTAAACAAAGAATCCCAGTAATATGTTTATTTATGGCATTTGTATTGAGTGGCTTTACCTTCTTCCAATGTATACTTAAATATCTGGAAGACAGTTCTGCTTTTTCTGTGTTTGGATATTATACTGGAGTCTAGCAACCTGGGTTAGAGGTCAAGATTGTGCCAATCATACTATAGCCTCTAGGTCACCCACCACAGAATGGAAAATGTCAGTGTTCTGTAGGTTGAGAAACTCTGACTTAGATGTAATGTTAAAAATTTAGTAAATTCTGTATTGCCTCACTTCATGATGATATAATTAAGTTGCAGTATAATCTCCAGGGTCTAAAAATGTATGCTTTTGCTTTACCTTAATTTTTCCTTTTTGAGTCCACCCACATTTTTCTGACTTGTGCTTGTCATCGTAATAAGGCTATTGCTGAAGCCACTGTGAAGCCACAGTAGGGGAAAAAGGTTAGGCTGCTTCAATGACTTTTAAAAATTGCCTGTAAGACTATTGATAATTATTTTCCTTGGAAATGGAATTATAACCATTGAGCTTGTTTGTATAAAAGGTGAACTTGAAAAACCTTGTACATAGAGAGTAGATACATAGCAGGCATATAGCAGACTATAAGTTTTTGTAATTATTTTCCATAGTTTTGAAGAGTAAGGTTTACTTTGGGAAAATGTCAGTTGTTGTATGGTTGGTTAATAATTTTATCTGAAGTCACACCGTCAGTTCTTTTCAGTGCATTTGAAATTGAATGCTTTACTTATTTAAGTGTAGTTTTTAAGTGATTCTAAAAATAGCTGTTTCATTGTCTGGGGCTAGTACATCTTTTGTGTATAGAGATTTTTATTGTAAATAGGTATCTTTGTTTGGTAAAAATAGATTTCTTATCTTACTTTGTAACTCTCACTTGTTTGTTCACCGAGTAGGGGACTGGTACAGTGGTCCTGCTGCTAACCTTGATACTGAGCCCGATGAAGAATGGGTGAGAAGCAGGCGAGATGAGAGTCGTGCTTTTCAGGAGTGGGATGAAGATGCTGATATAGACGAATCTGGTGAGCTGGGCTTGGCGTTAAAGTTAGTACATGTTGTTTTAGTGGCTGACATTTTAGTGCTTATTGCTAACATTCCTGTGTTTGGTGTTTTTGGAAGAAATTTGTTTTTAAGCCTACTACTTTTTAAAATTTGAAGGAATAATAAGTAAACAAAATTTATTCTAATTGAAGTGGTTTAAATGTGCATTGTATTGCTTCCTGTGTGTCTTTATATTAAAATTTAAAAATGATACCCAGTTCCCCTATGAGAATAAAGTGTATTTATTACAGAACTTCATCACTTACATTGTGCTTTTTAGAGGCAGTTAATGAATCAATTCCTCAGCCTTACTGAGTTGTCTGTGTCCCGAGGAAGGAGATGAGGTGTTGAGTGCTTATTCATCTGTAAGGTTGTAACACTTGCCTCTGGAGGGAGTTGTCCTTGAAGATTCTGGTTGAGGTGTAGCTCAACAGCAGAGCACCTGCCTACTGTGTGGAAGGCTCTGGGTTTAAGTCTCAGCCCTGCAACCCCTCCAGATGTTTTCATACATGAAACTTTTATAATTGGCTATTCTCTCCCTAACCTTGCTTATCAATGGCTGTATTTATCTAGAAAAACGTATTGACATTTTTTTTAAACACTGAGAATTTCATTTACCTATCTGTGGCCCAGTGTATAAGGTACAGATTTTCTTATTTTGAGACATGGTTTTGCCAAGTTCTCAGGCTGGGCTTCAACTTGGCAATCCTCTCACTCCGTCTCCCCAGTGCTAGGATTTCAAGCATGCATGAGCTTGACTGGCTGCAAACTAGCATGTTTAAGCAGTATCCAATGACACTCTGAGATAGGAAGTCATAAGATACACTTTCATAGCGTAGCCATTCATTATGTACTTGGAAAGTTCAAGAGTTTATCAGAATGTTTTCCTATCCAATTAGAACTCAGAGGTGGAGGAGAATTTAGAATACATAATTCTCAATTCAAGGTATGTAATGAAAAATGCTGTAGTAGAAGTGCGTATGGATGCTGTTCTTGGATGTAGAGGAGGAAGACAGAAGTTCTGTTTTAGATACCATTCTAGAAAAAAACTACTGAGAGATAATGAAGTAGAAAAATAACAGTTTTCTACCTGCTAAAACAAACTGTAGGGGATTCTGGGTTAGAATGGTGTATTTTACTTACAGCTGCTCCAGTGGGAGCTAAATGTGGAAAGTGAGAACTGCCGTGTCTGGTTTTGGAAGGTGCTTTGTGAGGGGAGTTGCATCCGCTCAGACCTGCTGCTGTGCATCCTGGGTGGGGGGGTGGGGGGGACTCTGTCCAAGTGTGAGGGACTCGGTAATGAGCAGAAGGGGAGAAAGTGCACTGGCCTTGTAGAGCTGAAAACATGGAGATGGGAGGCGGAGAAGTGTTGTGGAGAAAAAGAAGGGAAATGTGCCAGAAAGAAAGGGAAGAAGTTGCCATCTTTAAAAGAGTGATTTAGTTTCCCCTAGATTTGAGTGAAAACTCAAAGGAGGTGAAGTCTTGCTTGTCACCTTAGGGAAGAATTGATGTCTCATCTCTTGAAAATTAACCCCAGAATCTATGATATAGAGGATGAATCGAGGCTTTTGTGTGTTTGTCTGAATACTTGAGAGAAGAGCCAGGTGTGGTGGTGCACACCTGTCATCCTAGTGGATGGGAGGCTGAGACAGGAGGATTGCTGGCAAGTTTGAGGGTAGCCTGAGCTACAAAGTGAGCTCAAGACCAGCCTACACTACCTAGTGACACCCCACCTCAAAAAACCAAACCCAAACAAAGAAAGCTATGAAGATTGGAGTTAAGGTTTGTATGCTTAGCACCTGTGAGTACGGGGTTTAGTTGCCTTCCTTACCTTACCTTCCCAAAGGAAAAACAGATTGAGTCATTTGGAAGACAGTGTTCTCCATCTCATTTGTGGGTGAGCTCCAGGCTCCCCTGTGGACCTGCCTTCTGCTCAGCACTGTGTGCAGCTTGGGTGTCTTTACTCCTCAGGCGGAGGTGACCGACCACTCACCACGTTTTTGTGTTTCGTAGAGATTTTACAGTAAGCAGTGCACATGTACATAAGGAGGGCTACAGAAAGTAAAGGATTGGAAATGAAGTCGTAGTAGAGTAAACAGGGCTCATTGAGAGAATTTTTATTTCTTTGTGTTTTACATATGTGTCTGGTGAAGGAGAAGTTTAAGATAATAGATACAAATATGAAGCAATTAGTTACAAATCATTTTCTTCATTTATAATCCTTTTGTCCACTGTTTTACTTTATTTTTTTCACTTTTATTTTAAATTAGTCTTCCTTGACTTTAAACTTTTCTGTTTAGAGAGATTCAAGTTAGGCCTTTACATAATTAGGACAATAACAATAGAATCTTGAGAAAATATTTAAAATTATTAGTTCCTTTTTAATGTAGTATCTTTTAAAATATAAAACTGGCATTTTAAAATAAATTTTTTTGTGTGGTGGTGGTTATATTAGTGCAACCTGTTGTAAACATGCAAGTTGAATACATCCCTGTCCTTTTAAAAATTGTTTTACTTTGAGAAAGTGTCAATGAGAAGGGGGCCAAGCTGGGCTCGGGATTTCAGTTCCTCTGCTCTGTCCTCCCTGGGATTACGGGGGTGGGCCATGCTCATTTTTAACTTCTTAATGATTTTAAGATACCTTCCTTTGCTTGATTCATTATGTTCAGGCCGAGTGTCATTTCATATATGTTCAGATTTGTGTCCTTATTTCAGTAGAATAACTGATTATACATTTAACCATGTGTCTTTTCTTTTGATATATATTCTATTTTCCCTTGAAGAGCATTGCTATCTTTAAGTATGCAGAGTTCTTTTAAAAATTTACTTTATTGCCTGAAATTGGAGTTGCTTGAGAAGGGAGTTTAGAGACAGCACAAAATATTTCATAGTTAAACAGCTGGCTAGTCTTTAAGTACTGTAATTGTAATTAGTGTGTTGAAATCTTAGATTTTTGAATTCATCTTTACAGAAGAGTCTGCAGAGGAGTCGACTGCTATCAGCATTGCGCAAATGGAAAAACGCTTACTCCATGGCTTAATTCATAATGTTCTGCCGTATGTCGGTACTTCTGTAAAAACTTTAGTGTTGGCATACAGCTCTGCAGTTTCCAGCAAAATGGTATGTACATGTTAGCAATAGCTTGGAAACTAAGACAAATAGTAGTGATACAGCTTTGGTTTATTACTGAGCTTAATTACGGGAATAATATGGTGAGTGCCTTCTGAATAGATGTACACTACTGAGTCTCGTATTGTTTTAGTTCTTAGAAAAATCTTTTTTGCGTGAGTATCATTGCTTACATGTTATGGATGAGATAACCAGACTGGGAAAGGTTAAATACTGTACTCAGATGTTGGTAAGATGGTCAAGTGAAATAAAATCACTGTTTTTGGTTTTTGCAGTACTGGTAATTGAACCCAAGCAAGACCTGAGAGCTGCGCTACATCTCCAGCTGTTATAAAAAAAATTTGCCTTCAAATTTTGAGGCAGGGTCTTGCTGAATCATTATATAAGACCGTGCTCAAATTTATGATCTTGTCTCAGCCTCCCAGAGTGCTAGGATTCAGTCCTGAACCACCTTAATGATGTCTGTGAAAGTGCATCTTATGAATTCCTACTTCAGTGTATATTGAAGACTTCTAAAACACATTAGTTTGCAGCCAGTCAAGCTTATGTATGTTTGAAATCCTAGCATTGGGGAGACGGGGGTAAGAGGTTTGCAAGTTCAAGCCCAGCCCGGGCTCAAAATTAGAAAAATTAAAATGGCTCTGGGTTCAGTCCCCAATACTGGGAAAGAAATTCCTAAGTGGTACCTCACAACATTAACATAGGTTCTCAGGGATTTGAGCCTAGAATATGTATTTGCAATGTGCTATTCAGGTGACTTTTTTTTTTTTTTTAAACATGCACTTGAGTTTGAGGACCACTGGATTATACTTACTAGTGAGTGCCTATTGCTTCTCTGACTAAAGATGTGCTGATCTTTATGGCAGCTCTTTCTCCCTTAGGTTAGGCAGATTTTAGAGCTTTGCCCTAACTTGGAGCATCTGGATCTTACTCAGACTGACATTTCCGATTCTGCATTTGACAGGTTAGTTATTTTAAAATATTTAAACTATAATGGATTATTAGTGGAATTATTTTCTCGTTCATTTACATCATGACAGTTTAATCATGCTGTTATTTTTTACTGCTCATCTTGTTTGGCTATAATTTGATAGCGTCCATTTCTTTTTCTGCTATCCACTACTCCCAGCTGATCCAAAATTTCTATCATTTTGCCATATCTGTAACCAGGTACTGACTGTATTAGGCCTTTGAGCTTTGCTTTACAACCGTGGATTTGTGCTGCATGTGTGTAAGGTTTCATTTGGCCTTACGCCCTTTGGCACAGCTTCCTTTGTATTTTTAGAGTACCACTCATTCCAGCTGTACTTTCTGTACACATCTACTTTCTGTAGATTATGTTTTGTTGTATACTACCAATTTCCCCTTTATTCCGGTGTGCCCCCTCCCATGCTAGTATATTATTTCAGAGAGAAAGATCTTTCTCCTGTCTAAGGCCAGTTACCTAATTTCTGGATAGTGTTTCTTACGTACTTTCCTCCATTAAGCCTTAGATATTGTCCTTCTCTTATACATGTATAATATTTTTGCCCTGCCAATTACGTTCAGGATAATAAACAAGTTTTATACTTACCCTTCTGCCATCCTATCTGTTATGTTAGCAGTACTGTTAATTTCTAATGAATGTCACTTTGTTTTTATATGCTTAACACCAAAAGTATTACCTTGTAACGGTAAATATTTAGCAGATACTTGCATGATAATATTAGATGTAAAATCTGTTTTTCTAACATCCAACTATACAAATGTAGTCAGATAATTTTGAAGAATTTAACAACATATACTAGTAGTCTTGTTATCTCTTAATTGTAGTTGGTCTTGGCTTGGTTGCTGCCAAAGTCTTCGGCATCTGGATCTGTCGGGATGTGAGAAGATCACAGATGTGGCTCTAGAGAAGATTTCTAGAGCTCTTGGGATTCTAGCATCTCATCAGAATGATTTCCTGAAAACTACTCCAAGCAGAATTACTGCAGCTAAATGGAAAGACAAAGACATTACTATGCAGTCTACCAGGCAGTATTCCTGTTTGCGTGATTTAACTCAAAAAGGCATTGCAGAAGAAATAGACAGTGAGCACACCTGGACTAAGCCTGTTTCTTCTGAAGGTTTTACTTCTCCGTATGTGTGGATGTTAGATGCTGAAGATTTGGCTGATATTGAAGATGCAGTGGAATGGAGACACAGAAACGTTGAAAGTCTCTGTGTAATGGAAACAGCATCCAACTTCAGTTGCTCCTCGTCTGGTTGTTACAGTAAGGATATTGTTGGACTAAGGACTAGTGTCTGCTGGCAGCCACATTGCGCTTCTCCGGCCTTTGCTTATTGTGGCCATTCATTCTGTTGCACAGGAACAGCTCTAAGAACTATGTCAGCACTCCCAGAGTCTTCTGCAATTTGTAGGAAAGCGTTAAGGACTACACTGCCTAGGAGGAAAGACTTACTTGAGTTTGGGAGTGAAAAATCTGATCAAGAGACTGGACGTGTACTTTTGTTTCTCAGTCTGTCTGGCTGTTACCAGATTACAGACCACGGTCTCAGGTGAGTAACCAAAGGAGTAGGAAATGGTCACACTTTCATTTTCATGTCAAATAGGAAAGCTTGATGTAAATTATCCCTTGCAGTGTATTTATTTAAACAAGAAAGTTGACAAAAGGGGTTTAAAACCACACTGAGATTTCACCTCACTCCAGGAAGAATGGCTAAGATCAACAAAACCAACAACAAATGCTGGAGAGGCTGTGGGGAAAAAGGAACTCTTCTGGACTGTTGGTGGGAATGTAGATGGGTGCAACCATTTTGGAGGCCAGTCTGGAGATTTCTCTAAAAGCTGGGATTGGAAGTCCCATTTGTTCCAGCTATTCCACGTCTAGGCGTATTCCCAGAAGAACTGAAAGCATCATACCACAGAGATGTATGTGCACCCATGTTTATAGCAGCACAATTTGTAAAAGCCAGATTTTGGAAACAACCTAAGTGTCCATCAACTGAGGAATGAATAAAAAACTTGTGGTATTTTTATGCAATGGAGTACTACTCAGCTATAAAGAAGGATCACATTGAGATATTTATAAAGAATTGGGCGCAGCTTGAGACCATACTCATAAGTGAAATAATGAAACTCACATGTATGAATACCGAATAGTTTCCCTAGGGTAAGAAATGGTAAGAATACATAAAAGTATGTGGTAATCATGATTCCCCACTATATTGCTTTGAAATCTTATAATGTTTTCATTCATTAGTTGGAATGTATTTATTATGGGTTGTTTGATTTTATTGTCTGTGATAGTATGACCAGCTATTTTGAAGAAAACAAGACATTATAATAGCTAGTGCTGATTTAATATGATATCATTTTGAAGTCCTACCAACCTTTTGTTGTTCTGTCTCCATCAGTTTTACCATGTTGTATCTTATTGGGTTTTTTTTTTAATTTTTCTGGTACCGGGGATTGAACTCATGACCGTGCACTTGCAAGGCAGGTGCTTATGCCGCTGAGCTAAATCCCCAGCACTGGATTTTATTATATGTGGTAGTATAAACAAAATTTTTATGGACAAGGAGATAATTTAGTAACCTTTGTTTGTTTTCTGTTAGTTGGGTCTGAGTATCCTATAATACCTTCATTCCCTTGAATGGTTTTACACCGTCTTATGTTTGATACTATAGTGCATGACAGTATACTCAAATATTTCAAGGAAAGAGACACTGTGGTAGCTACTGTTATGTCGGGTTGTCTTGTGGTGAAACACTACGTTGTGTTCTGTTCTGACCTATTTTGTTATGTCCTCTTTTATTTTAATCTGTTTTTTAAAATAAAAAAAAGGACCAGACTCTCTGCTTCCTCTCCCAGCCCCTCTAATGTGCCCCACTGCCTCGTTCTCGTATCCGCTCCCCTCTCTGCCTCAGCAGCTCCTGGCCTGCCCTCTTTCCCACTGTCCTGTCCTCCTGTGCCCTCATATAAACAGAATCACACAGGGCACACACGTGTGGTCTGGTTTCCTCCCCTGTCGGGATGATTTGAGTTTCATCCACATCGGTGCAGAGGCATCAGCAGCTGATACTTTCCGTTGCTCAGCTGTGTTCCAGGGCGTAGGTGCCCCTCAGGTAATTTACCTGCTCTCTGCTGAAGGACATTTGTGTTGGTAAGCGTGGCTTTTACTTGTTGTATGATATTGTACCCTACAGACAGCCCAAGCCTTAGCAAGCACAGCTAAGCAGTTCCAGTCAGTGTGTAAATGTAACTGGACATTTGGATTGCCCCTACTATAAGTAGCCTCTCAGTAAATCTCTTTCTATGTAAATGTTTACATATCTGATATATGTATATTATAGGATACGTAGATCTCAAGTATCTACAAGCCTACATCCTGCACTCATGGAGATTTAGAAAAATTCTGAAAATAAAAATACTGTTCTAATAGAATTTTCTAAATATTTGTTTTATAAGATTATGCAACCATCAGGGGTCATGAAACTTGGTGCCCTTGTTAAAATAAAGGAATCAAAAATTGCTTTATTTTCAAGGCAGCAGATTTAACCTGCTAAAAGGGATGGGATTAGTTTCTTGTTTCTGGAGTCCTGAGCATGAACCTCACTGAAAAACGACATTTCCTCAGGAAGAAACATCTTCAGAGAAGAGAACCAAGTGGCAGGACCTGATGCAGAATGAAAGAAGACCCAGGGCAGGTAGGCGTGGCCACAGCTGTTCAAACAGCAGAGAGGAGCTTCTCCTCACTCTGGAAAACCCCAGGCCACAGCCACTGACAGAAGCAGGACCAGGGTGGTGCTCTGTTCAGGAACTTGAAATGCGGCTCCCCCTCCAGTCAGTGCTGCTGACCTGAAAATTAACAGTGAAACAAAAGACATCAGTCCTGCTTGCCTTGAGACCCCTGCTTTCCACAATACACATGCACCTTCCAGAAAATGTTAACTAGGGCAGACAGGTATAAAGGGAAAACTAGGTCTCTCAGGATCTGCATTCCTCCTTCCCAGAGAGAATCACCACTGGTAATTTGGGTTGTTCTTCCAGGAAGCAGACAGACAGACACAGCCAGCCACCCTATCTCTGTCTCTCTGTCTTGCTGTGTCTGTCTTTCTGTCTCTCTCTGTCTGTCTCTGTCTCTCTGTCTCTCTGTCTCTGTCTCTCTGTCTGTCTGTCTCTCTTTCTTTCTCTCTCTCTCTCTCTCTCTCTCTTTCTCTTTCTCTTTCTCTTTCTCTCCCTTTCTTTCTCAGCACGGGGAATCTGCAGTTTGCTTCCTTCACCTAGCCCACTTCTTGGATGGTCAAAAGTCAATGCTGTTCATACCAAAGTCAATCCTGTTCATAGCAGCTGACCTCTGGATTTTTGAAAACAGAAATTATGAATTCTGTAAAATCAATTAAAACATGAATTTTAGAAATCCTGAAACTACCTAGTGTTGGATGGAAAATAAATCTGATGGCACCAGAAGAGTGGCCTTAAGAAATTTCCTATTTGAACATTGCTGGCCCCTTTGCCGGCAGAAAGAACCTTGCCTTCCAATTTGTGTTAGGGCTCCCCCTTCTGGAAATTTTCTATAATTACACTTCTGGTTCAGTTTCTCACAGTCCAGATTCACTAGTTCTGCTTTCAAATGATTAGTGTAAGGATAACTTGCCAGGCTTGGGGGTACTGCCCACAATCCCAGCGCTCAGGATACTGAGGCAGAAAGATGGTGATGAGCCCGAGGCCAGCATGAATTACACAGAGAGAGCGTCTAAAAAGAAAATAGAAGAGAAAAGAACACAGAAAGAAATACAGTAACCATGAGAGTGCCCTGTGATCTCTTTTCTTCCCTCCGAGAAGTAACGACTGTTAGTGGCTTGGAGTTCGCGTTCTCAGACCTGCTTCTATCATGTACGCCCACTACCACCGACAGGTGGAAGGGCACAGCTTAGGTTTCCTTTGCTTCCCATGTCCCTGTTCATGCTCTGTGTTTCGCTTCGTCAAATTTTATCTTCATAAGCTCTGCTTGCTGACATGGGTTATACTTGAGGCAGTTTGATACACCATTTGTAGTTATTCTGGTTTTAATAATTAATTCTTTTTTTTTTTTAATTTTTATTTTTTTTTATTTAAGAGGAAAAAGAGAAAAACACAAAACAAAACAAAGCAGTGTAAGGTTACATATAATACAGAACTACAAAAAAAAGCATAACAAACAGTAAGAAATCACCTGTTAATAGATTACATATTATCATCTTGGAAATAGTTGCTCAAATCACAGTATCAAAGAATACAAAGTAGACATTCAAACAGAGAGACTACAAACAGCTGTGTTCAATGATCCAAAAACATTAATATAGTCAGCTATTCAACATCCCTATACACACTTGCTGTTATATCCGTTAGAGCTCTTTTTTCCCCTTCCTCTCTTTTTACAACAAAATTTACACATTTTAGATTTTATTACTCCTTAGTTCTTATTACTTTTTTGGGGGGGGAGAATAAAGTCAAATATGGCAGAACAAAGCTGTCAGTGAAAACCAAGGATAGACTTAGCACATGATGTAGAACAGAGTATACGGTTATTAACAATAGTTATCAACGTTGTCTCTTGTTTCCTTAAAAAGATTTGTCTATCTCATTAGATATTATAAAGTTGGACAAAACAGTAGAGAACAAGACCAATAAAACTTAGACATTGTAAACATTACAGGACTTCCAAAGGAGACAATAGTCAAACCAGAATGGGCATCTTAGTGAATCTTACTGCCTTCAAAGTAGTTGCCTATACCCTCGGACCTGATACTATCCCACAGAATGGAACAGAGTCTAATCAGTCAAAACAAGATCGTGGGAGCATTACAGGACTTCAAAACAAGTTAGTAGGAAATCGAAAAGAGTTACTATTATATATCCTAATTTTTTAAATTTTTCCCTTAATTAAAATAAACATAAGAAATAACTAAATAATTTTTTTAAAGAATAATAGTTACCATAGTGTCTGTCTTTTTCCTTGAGATATTTGGATAAAACTTCATATACTATAGCTTCAAATATTTCCATATCAAGAAGCCCGGAATAAAGCCTTTCTAATTAATAAGTGAAAATTTTATAAGGCTTCAAGGCCACATAATGGGGAATCATGATTGCCACATATTTTCATATATTTGAATCATTACTTACATTAGGGAAACTATTCGGTATTCATACATGCGAGATTGATTTATTTCACTTATGAGTATGGTCTCAAGCTGCGCCCATTTATTGATAAATATCTCAATGTGATCCTTCTTTATAGCTGAATAATATTCCATTGTATAGAAATACCACAACTTTTTTATCCATTCCTCAGTTGATGGACACTTGGGTTGTTTCCAAGATCTGGCGATTACAAATTGTGCTGCTATAAACATAGGTGCACATAAATCACTGTGGTATGATGCTTTCAGTTCTTCTGGGAATATGCCTAGAAGTGGAATAGCTGGAATAAATGGGATTTCCAATCCCAACTTTTTGAGAAACCTCCAGACAGACCTCCACAAAGGCTGTACCAGTCTACACTCCCACCAACAGTGCAGGAGAGTTCCTTTTTCCCCACAGCCTCTCCAGCATTTGTTGTTGTTGGTTTTCTTGATCCTGGCCATTCTTTCAGGAGTGAGATGGAATCTCAGTGTGGTTTTAATTTGCATTTCTCTGATGACCAATGATGATGAGCATGTTTTCATATATTTATTTGCCATTTGCATTTCTTCATCTGAGAATTGCGTATTCATCTCAGATGCCCATTTTTGGATTGGATCTTTGAATTTTGGAGGTCTGAGTTTTTTTAATTCTTTATATGTTTTAGACAAGAGTCCCTTGTCTGAGAGAGAGTTCACTAAAATCTTTTCCCAGTTTGTGGGTTTTCTTTTCACTATGCTGGAGATTTCTTTTGACATGCAGAAACTTTTTAATAAGATGTGGTCCCAGTTATTGATTCTGGGAAGTGTTTCCCGTGCGGTTTGAGTCCTGTTCATGAATTCTCTACCTACTCCTATGTCTCCAAGGTTTCTACCCACTTTGTCTTCCAGTAGATTTAGTGTTTCTGTTTTAATATTCAGATCTTTGACCCATTTAGATTTTAATTTAGTACATGGTGATAGACATGGGTCTAGCTTTAGTTTTCGGCAAATGGAGAGCCAGTTTTTCCAGCACCATTTATTAAAGAGACTATCGTTCTTCCAGTGAACCTGCTTGGCTCCTTTATCAAAGATAAGGTGGTTGAGTGTGTTTGTAGTTGTGGTTGTATCTTCTAATCTATTCCATTGATCTTCGCCTCTATTTTGATTCCAATACCATGTTGATTTTACTACTGTTGCTTTGTAGTATAATTTCAAGTCAGGGATTGTGATGCCTCCTGCTTTGCCTTTGCTGCTTAGAATTGCCTTTGCGATTCTAGGTCTCTTCTGGTTCCAGATGAAATTTAGGAGTGATTTCTCTAGATCTATAAGGTATGTTGATGGTATTTCTATTGGGATTGCATTGAATCTGTATAAGAGTTTTGGGAGAATGGCCATCTTCACAATGTTTGTTCTTCCTATCCATGAGCAAGGGATGTCTTTCCATTTTCTGAGATCATCTTCAATTTCCTTTTTCAGTGTATTATAGTTTTCACTGTATAAGTCTTTCACTTCTTTCGTAAGAGTAATTCCTAAATATTTCATTTTTTTGCTTGCTAATGTGAATAGTCCAGTTTCTCTTATTTCCCTCTCTGTAATTTTGTTGTTCGTGTATAGGAATGCTATTGATTTCTGAGTATTGATTTTGTATCCAGCCACATTACTGAATTTATTTATTGTATCTAAGAGTATTTCAATGGAGTTTAGGGGGTCTTCTATGTAGAGTATCATGTCATCTGCAAACAATGATAACTTAACTTCTTCTTTTCCTATCTTTACCCCTTTTATTTCTCTTTCTTGCCTAATTGCTCTGGCTAGTACTTCCAGTACTATATTAAATAGGAGTGGTGATAAAGGACATCCTTGTCTTGTGCCTGATTTTAAAGTAAAGGCTTTCAATTTTTGGCCATTTAGAATGATGCTGGCTGTTGGTTTGTCATAAATGGCCTTTATTATATTGAGGTAAAGACCATCTATTCCAATTTTCTGTAGAGTTTTTATCATGAATAAATGTTGGACCTTATCGAAGGCTTTTTCTGCATCTATAGAAATGATCATGTGATTCTTATTTTTGGCTTTATTGATATGGTGGATTACATTTATTGATTTGCGTATGTTGAACCATCCTTGCATTCCTGGGATGAATCCCACTTGGTCATGGTGTATAATCTTCTTGATGATTTGCTGGATCCTATTTGCCAATATTTTATTGAGGATTTTTGCATCTGTGTTCATTAGGGAGATCGGTCTATAGTTCTCTTTTTTAGTTGGGTCTTTCTCAGGTTTTGGTACTAGAGTAATATTTGCTTCCAGGAACGACTTAGGAAGGATTGCTTCCCTTTCAATTTCATTGAACAGTTTGAAGAGTGTCGGCATTAGGTCTTCTTTGTATTTCTTGGAGAATTCTGCAGTGAATCCATCTGGGCCTGGGCTCTTCTTGATGGGTAAGGACTTAATTACATTTTCAATTTCAGTAACAGAGATTGGGTTATTCAACAGTTTTACATCCTCTTCATCTAGCTTTGGCACTTCATATGCTTCTAAGAATCTGTCTATTTCTTCTGTGTTATCAAACTTTTGAGAGTAGAGGTTTTCGAAGTAGGTGTTGATGATCTTCTGTATTTCTATTGGGTCTGTAGTGATTTCTCCTTTTTCATTTCTTATTGCATGAATTTGAACTTTTTCTTCCCTTTTTTTAATAAGGTTGGCTAGGGGCTTATCGATTTTATTTATTCTTTCAAAGAACCAACTCTTTGATTTGTTGATTCTTTGGATTGTTTTCTTAGTCTCTATTGCATTGATTTCTGCTCTGATTTTTATAATTTCCTCTCTTCTTTTGGCTTTGGGCTTGACTTGCTCTTCTTTTTCTAGCTGTTTGAGGTGTAGCATCAAGTTATTTATTTGTATTCGTTCTGTTTTCCTGATGTGGGAACTCAGTGCAATAAATTTTCCTCTCAGGACGGCTTTCATTGCATCCCACAGGTTCCGGTAAGTTGTATCTGTGTTTTCATTTTCTTTTAGGTATTGTTTGATTTCTTCTTTAATTTCCTCTGTGACCCACTGATTACTCAAGAGTGTGTTATTCAGTTTCCATGTGTTTGTGGGATTTTTGCAGTATCTTTTATCATTAATTTCTAATTTCAGAGCGCTATGATCCGATAACATGCAAGGGATGATTTCAGCTCTTTTGCACTTGTTTAAATATGTTCTGTGAGCTAATATATGGTCTATTTTAGAAAATGATCCATGTACTGCTGAGAAGAATGTGTATTCTGATGTTGTTGGGTGGAACATCCTGTATATGTCTATCAAACCCATTTGTTCACAGGTATGATTCAGTTCTGTTATTTCTTTGCTCATTTTCTGTCTGGTTGATCTGTCCCTTGGTGTCAATGGCATATTAAGGTCTCCTGTTACAATTGTGTTACTGATAATTTGAGTTTTCATTTCTGTTAATAATTGTTTTATATAACTTGGTGCTCTGGAGTTTGGTGCGTATATATTTAAGATCGTTATCTCTTCCTCTTGGAGTTTTCCCCTTACAAGTATGTAGTGACCTTCTTTGTCCTTTATGGTCATTGTTGGTTTAAAGTTCACGTTGTCTGCAAACAGAATGGCTACTCCTGCCTTTTTCTGGATTCCTGCTGCATGAAGAATTGTTTTCCATCCTTTGACTTTCAGTCTGTGAGTATCCTTCTGGGTTAGATGGGTTTCCTGTAAACAGCATATGGTTGGATTTTGTTTCTTGATCCATTCTGCTAGTCTGTTTCTTTTGATTGGTGCATTGAGACCATTTACATTAATGGTTATTACTGTTAAATGCTGGTTAATTGTAGGAATGTTATCTCTCTGCTGTTGCATCTTTATCTTTCTGTTCTGTTTAATTATTTGCTTTGCTTAGTGGTTTTTTCCTTTGTGTATCTAAACTGTCTTTCAATATTTTTTGCAGGGTCGGTTTGGTGTTCATGAAGTTCTTCAGCTGTTCTTTGTCATGGAAGTATCGTATTGCACCATCTATTTTGAATGATAGTTTTGCAGGATATATCAGTCTTGGTTGGAAATCATTTTGCTTTAGGATCTGGAATATTTCACTCCATGCTCTTCTTGACTTTATCGTTTGTGCTGAGAAGTCTGCTGTGATTCTGATAGGTTTTCCTTTATAAGTGATCTGTCTTTTCTCTCTGACAGCTTTTAGTAATCTATTCTTGTGTTGGATTTCTGGGATGGTGATTATTATATGTCTGGGTGTAGTTTTATTTTGGTTATGAGTGTTTGGAGTTCTATATGCTTCACTGATCTTGATGTCAGTTTCTGATCTCATGCTTGGGAAATTTTCAGCTATTACTTCTCTAAATATCCGCTTGACATCCTTTATGTTGTCTCCCTCTCTTTCATTAATCCCTATCATTCTTATGTTATTCTTCTTTGCATCGTCTTGCAGTTGTTGAATTGTTGTTTCCTGATTCCTTGTTATTTTCAAAAGATCTTTCCTTTCCTGTTCACTAGCTGCAATCATGTCTTCAAGGTCTGAAATTCTATCTTCACTTTCATTAAGGCGGTTTTTACAACTTTCAGTGGAGTTTTTTATTTCCTGTATATCTCTGTGCATCTGCATTATGTATTCTGTTTGTTTCTTATATTGCTCGTCTAGGGATTCTATCTTTTTGTTTAGTTCCTCCAATTTTTTATCTGTGTTTTCTTTAGATATATTTAGAATCTCTTTCATTTCTTTTATCATTTCTTCTTTTATCTGGGAGATTATTTCGAGTTTGAATTTCTTTAAAGCTTCCTGGAGTTGTTTGTCAACTTCAGTAGCTATTATGTCCGATATATGAGGTGGATGGGATATATTTTCTTCTATATACATTGCTCCTAGGGGTTCCTGAGATGGGCTGGAGGTTTGAGGTTGTAATTTGGTCTTTCGTTTTGTCATTTTGTATATTTCTGTGTTTCAAGTGTTATTTGAAAGCTTCCTCAGGATCTGTTGAAAATCCCCTTCTATGCTTGGAGCTACTGAGCCTCTGACACCGCACTACCCCAAGCCATTGGGCCTGCAGAACCAGTGTCCCTCCTCTGCCTGCTCAGAACTCCGCAGTTCCAGACAAGCTGGGCCTCAGGGACACTGTGCGCCCACCTGCCCCTTGGAAGATCCACAGCTCTTCAATTGCAGCCGGGTTAGGGTGCTCTCCACAGGCCACAGTGCCTCAGGAGCCTGTGATCCCTCCCTGCTTGCAGAGATATCCACAGTCCTCTAGGCAAAGGAAGGGACTTCTGCAGGCACTCCAGATCCGCCCAGCTCCTCCTCTGCAGGCAGATGGCTAGGCGCGGCTGGGCTCGGGGGTTAGTGTAGGCCCGCCCATCCGTCAGGAGCTCAGCAGACTTCCAAGTGTAGCCGGGGGGGGGGGGGGGGGGCAGCTGTAGTGGCCTCTAACCCACTGTTCCACTTCTCTGCACCCAGAAGCCTGGGGGGTCCGGAACAGTCTGAGATTTGGGCAGACTGTGCTGGGCACTCACCACAGGCTGAGGTGCCTCAGGAAGCTGCGATGCCTCTCTGCTTGCAGAAGTATTCAGTCCTTCAGACAAAGGAACGGGCTTCTGCAGGGACTCCGGATCCGCCCAGCTCCTCCTCTGCAGGAGATGGCTAGGTGCGGCTGGGCTCGGGGGTTAGTGTAGGCCCGCCCATCCGTCAGGAGCTCAGCAGACTTCCAAGTGTAGGGGGGGGGGGGGATGGGGAGGCAGCTGTAGTGGCCTCTAACCCACTGCTCCACTTCACTGCACCCAGAAGCCTGGGGGGTCCGGAACAGTCTGAGATTTGGGCAGACTGTGCTGGGCACTCACCACAGGCTGAGGTGCCTCAGGAAGCTGCGATGCCTCTCTGCTTGCAGAAGTATTCAGTCCTTCAGACAAAGGAACGGGCTTCTGCAGGGACTCCGGATCCGCCCAGCTCCTCCTCTGCAGGAGATGGCTAGGTGCGGCTGGGCTCGGGGGTTAGTGTAGGCCCGCCCATCCGTCAGGAGCTCAGCAGACTTCCAAGTGTAGGGGGGGGGGGGGATGGGGAGGCAGCTGTAGTGGCCTCTAACCCACTGCTCCACTTCACTGCACCCAGAAGCCTGGGGGGTCCGGAACAGTCTGAGATTTGGGCAGACTGTGCTGGGCACTCACCACAGGCTGAGGTGCCTCAGGAAGCTGCGATGCCTCTCTGCTTGCAGAAGTATTCAGTCCTTCAGACAAAGGAACGGGCTTCTGCAGGGACTCCGGATCCGCCCAGCTCCTCCTCTGCCAATAATTAATTCTTAATATTAAATTTATAAATTCAGACACACCTTTATGTTTAAGTTGTGCATTGTGTCATTCTGTTGATGAACCTTCTCTACTCTGACATGCTTTTCCCACTTGCAGGTCCTTCCCAGTATACATCACCAGCCTTTCCTAAAATGCACTGTCTTGAGACAAGATCTTACTAAATTGCCTACTCTGGACTTGAACTTGTAACCCCCCTGCCTCAGTTCCCCAGAGTATGGGGGTGACAGGGCACCACTTTGCCTGACCCTGACAGCTTTTCATGGTATTTCTCATTTAATTTCCTTGGATATTTATAGAAAAAGTTATTTAAGGTTAAAATATGCAAATTTAAGCTTGATAATATTACATTAATTTTCCACAAATATTTTAGCTGTTTTTAAATAGGCAAAGCTTCCAGGGGTTTTGATGCATGCCGATAATCCAGAACTTAGGAAGCAGACCAGGAGGATGATCTGTGAGTTGAGGCTACCCTGGGCTACAAGTGAGTTCAAGGCCAGTTTGTGCAGCACAATGAGACCTTGCCTCAAAAGATAATATAAGTAAATAAATAAGCAAAGCCTGCTCAAATATTTGATTCTAGTAAACCTAGCAACTCCAAACATGGCTAAAAGCTATAGTTAAATTCTCTTGACAAATTTCAACTAAGACTCCCAGGTCTCAAATCAGCTAATACTTGCATGTTTGTTCAGACTGTGGGCTGATCCAACCACTATTCTCATATGCTAAATTCTCTAAAGTCTTACAAATAAATTCAACACCAAAACGCAAGATTGTGCCTACCCTTACCCCACAATTATTAATAATATGGATTGAATTAATGTCAACAGCTGCTTTGATTCTAAACTTTTGCAGACTAAAAATCCTTTGCTCCAATGTGTCTAATCAAATGCAGATAAATGTTCCTGCTACTGTAGCGGAGGCGTTTAGGACCACAGGCTTCCAGCCGAGATGAGAGAGCTGACACTTGCCATGCCCTCTCCCCGGTGACTACCTCAGGGCCTGTGCTTTCATATCCTCACCAGCCTTGTCAACCGGATTTGGAGCCAATATTACATCAGATAAGCGAGTAAAAATTTTTTAAAACATAGATTATTCTATATTTTCATAGAACCATTGTCTTTGACAGCTACAACATGTTCTGCTTCATGAGTGGATGTTTTTGTGGATTCCTTCACTTGTCACCAGGTATTTAGGCCCAGCCGGGGTCTCCAGTTTATTGTTGAACATCTTTGAGCATGTAAGTTTTATCTATTTGTCCATCATTCCTTTAGGACAGGATACCAGAAGTACCCCCAAAGGCTGATACAGTTCAAAGGTTCTGAATACATTCCTAATTCTGATCATCTATTGTCAAATGGTTTTCCCAAAACATATTACCACTTGATAATCCCAACATATATTCAATGATATCATGACAGCTTTATTTATTTACTTATTTATTTATTGCTTTGTTTAGAAACTAAGGTGGAGGGTCTGGGGATTCAGCTCAGCAGCATAAGGGCCTGCCTTGCAAGCGTGTGGTCGTGAGTTCAATCCCCAGTACCAGTAAAAAAAAAAAAGAAAGAAAGAAAGAAACTGAGGTGGAAACTATACCTTACTGGATCTAAAAAGTGAATAAGTAGTTTTGTGTACTTGCTGCTCATGGTTTTGCTTTTGTAAGTTATCTATTAATTTTTATTACCATAAACAATATGAAATGAAAGTGGAGGATACTTGCCAAAGGGTAAAAAACAGTATTTATTCCTCTCATTTAAGGAAATGGCCAAACTGTCAAAAAATAGATCTTCCAACAATCAGTGAAATAAACACTGAAGCAAGAGGAACAGAAGGGGCAGAGACCCTCCAGGCCTTTACACGCCTGCTGTGTGTGTCCACGCGGCCTTGGGGGCGGCCAGTGTAGCAAGGGACACAGGGACTTCAGCTGCCGTTGCTTCCAGTTCTGGTCCCATGTTAGTGAACCTATGGCACACATGCCACATCACAAGGCCACCTCATCCCAGCATCGCCCCAGCTGCCGAGCATCGGATATCAGCGCATGCAGGAAGTAGAGGCACTTTGCTACTTTCTGGTAGATACGTGGTTTGGAGTTGCAGTTTGGACCCTCGGTCTCTGAAGTGTTCACCATCACTGCTATACCCATTCTGGGTGAACTTAAGGATTCCTTAATCTCTCCAAACCTCAGTGTCACTGAGGACCAAGAAGGTGATCCAATGAGGGGAGATGGAAACCACAGAGCACCAGCTGGAAGCCTCACCCAGCTGCACTATCCTCGTACCCCCAAGACCAGAGACAAGGCCCCTGGGCTGCATCTCTCTGTCAGGAATTCCCCATGGAAGCAGTGGCTGCACATGAGCTGTGCCCAGACAGGCTGAGTGACACCATGTGGACCTAAGTGACACCACGGCCAGAGACCACCCACACACCCTGGCCTCGTGAGGCTCCTGGGGCACTGGGAATCTGTCCCCTTGAGTCCCTGAGACAATGTTTACTGTCCTCTTCTCCACCTGAGGAATAGCATAAAATCACAGTGCACTTCACCAGCAGCTATGCATGAAGGAATCTTAGGAAGGACAAGAGGTCTGAGTCAAAACGTTTACTTACGAACTCATGGCACAGTCGGGGTGAGCGCTGTGGTCCACACACATCAAGAGCTTCACTGGGCTACAGAAAGAAAAAAAGGGAGTTTTGTGTTGATTTGACTTGATTTGATTTGATTTGATTTGATTTGATTTTTGAGACAGACACTCACTCTGTAGTTCAGGCTGCACTTACTATTACATAAACCACGCTGGCCTCAAACTAGTGGTTAACCTCATGCCTCAGCCCCTTGAGTGCTGAAATTACAGGCACGTATTGGCAGCATTAAAGCAATTAAAAAACACATCTAAAACATTTATGGTGGACCTGAAAGATCTTGGTGATACAAAGTTTGGCTCCTTGAAGAACATATAAAATATTCTTTTTTAAAAGCTGAATGTGGTGGTCCTTGCCTGTAATCTCAGCACTTGAGAGGCTGAGGCAGGAAGATTGCCGTAAGTTCAACACCAGCCTGGGTTATATAGAGACACTGTCACACACACACACACACACACACACACACACACACGAAGAAAAAAATCAAAATAATAAAACTAGCTACTATTTATTGAGCATTTACTATAATGTGTGCCAAGAAATTTATAGTGATTTGTGGTGTTGGGGGTGGAATCCAGAGCTTTGTGCATGCTAGGGAAGCCATCTCCTACTGACCTGCACTTCCAGCTTGGTAGTAAGAAACTTGATCAAGGATTTCACACAGATCATATCATTCAATCCTACAACCAAATGCAACTGGTTCTATTTTTACCTCCAATTTCCAGTACTGAGAGCTGAACACAGTGACTTGCCCAAGTTCTCACAGTAGAGAACTGGAGAGCCAGGCTTTATCCTTGTAGGTGACTCAAAGCCAGAGGGCCTGTCCTCTCCTGCACAAATGTATTATAACAGAAAATGCCCCCTGAGGGATGTAAGATGATGTTGGTTTCCTCACAATGTAAACCACCAAAATTCTTCAGTTTCTGTTTTTATGTAGCCCAAGTAACCGGCAGTTTAATTTGGTTTCTCTTACCTCTGACTCTGAAACAGCAGATCACCAAGATGCATGACTGGTCACAGGATGTACATGGTAAGAACCAGTGCCCAATGACAAGCCACCCTGTTTCTGTACTTCTGCTTTGCAACCTCACAAAACCCTCCCTCCCCACACCTTGAGGGCCTGGCTTCTTTAGGAACAATGCCAGTCAGGACCACCAGCATAAATAAACCTGATTCTTGCCTCCAAACCTCAGTATCACTCACTTCTTGGTCAGAACTTTGCTGTTACATTTGGTTCTGTGACCAGTAAGGCTGACTGTGCTGGCCATTTGGGTCCCTGACCATAGCCCCCACAGAATGAGTGAGGACTCTCCAGCCCATCAAGGAGAAAGGTGTGCCTCCAAAATATTTTTAGTCTCCCAAGGGGACCAGAGAGGACAACCTGTTTGACATCTGTGGCTTACTAGATCAAAGGGAGAGGCGGAACAGAATCCTGTCCTGCCTTTGGCTAAGGTGAGACCCTGGGGCCACTCCCAAGTCAGGCCTATACCACTGGATGGAGTGACTCAGAATCTCTCATCAGAATAAAGATTCCTCAGAATAAGGACTTCCCTTACTGTTTTAGCCTCTGAATGAATGCTGAGTGTGTGTCTGAATGTCATGGATGGGGTATACCATAGATCATTCCATTTCTGCAGCTCCACAGCGATGTAACCTGGGACCATGAAGTCTGAATGGGTCCTGACCTGAAGTTTTGGGGATGAATCTAAGGGACATAATGGAGACCCTAGTGATGAGTTTCTCCTTAGTCCAGATGGTCCTAAATTGCCAAAAGACATGCATCCAGGTGGGCACCTGAATGGCCTCTCTCTGAGGGGCATCCACCCTTTGTCTGTTGCAACTCTGCTCAAGGGCACATCACATATGTGTAGGGAGTCAGCACAGGATCTAATTAGTCAAAGCTTATAATTCTGGAATGTGTGCTAAAAATATTTTTTGAGGACTGCTGAATGAAACCAAATCAATTCCCTGAACCTGAACAAAGACCCATTCTTCCTGAGGATTCTTCCTTAGCAGATGTATCACCCCTTACTGCCCACTGCAGCTGCTGCCAGAACCTCCAGTTTCACTGGGTAGTCCTTCTACTCCTTCTCCTGCTCCTGATGCCTCTACCTCCAGCCTAATGAACCAGTTTCAGTCAATGGTGCTTCTGCTGCCAGCCCTGGACCAGTTCTTCTGATACTATGGCAGTGTGCCTCTCTGTTCCCAACACTGAAGAATCCAGTCAGTCATTTCCTGTGTTCAGCCACCAAGGCCCCCTGGAGCCTTCTGTTTTAATGTTACCCTTACATGCCTATTCTGTCAGATGACATCATATAACACCCAGTTGGGATCATTATGAGCAACTCCAATTCTGTTCAACACAGAAATGTTTCCAAATTTTTCAGAGAGAAAAACTGGTTAAAGGGAGAGATAAACTGTCAGACCTGGAGAATGGGTTGTCAAGGCTTTCCCAAAGGGGCCTTGCCAAAATAACACACCAGCAAAAAGAAACAAAGCAATCCAGTCAAGTGCTCCTCAAAGGCCTCAAAGAGGGGCACAAGCAGCCCATCAATATGTCAAAAGTTACTACTGTTATCCTGAAGCTTGATAAAAGGTCTTTTTAATGAGAGACTCTGCCAAGCTTACAGGGTCTACACGCCTTTTGACCATAAGGCCCCAGAAAATTTACAGATGGGAAATGCAGTCTTCATGCACAAAAAGTAGCTGTATCTACAAGAAAATCTGGTCTGAAAGACAACCTTACCCTCTGGCCAAACATCAATATGCAAGATGTAAGGGCTATAAACACATTTTAAAATACTCATACAGACTAAAAGATAAAAACTCTCAAAAGCTTCAACCTTGATCAAATAACAGCCTTTTCATCAATCTGACTGGTTCCATCTACACTAGACTGGGCTCCCTTCTTCACCTGGATCACTGGGAGCCCACAGTCCACGTCCATATTGGGGCACCAACCTATGATTTTTCTGAAATAGAACACTTTGTAGTTAGCTAACCTATTGTCCTTCTGTCAGAAAAAGGCTACCATTACCAGCACAACTAGGACTCTTGATCCCTTTTGCCAGGCATAAACTTGCAGCCTAAGAGGACACCTCTTTAAACATCAGTTCCTGTATATGTCAGAATGCCCCATAACACTTCTGAAAAGAGACTTTTTCTCTAAGGTAGGAGCAACACTCTACTTCACACCAAGCCTACTCAGCCTCCCTTTTCTTTTGTAACCCTGCATTTTCAAAACTTGTCCCAACTCTGACTGTCTTAGTTATTTCTTACTCGTTGCTGAGACAAAATACCTGAAGCCCAAGTTGGGAAAGGAAAGGTTTATTTCTTACAGTTTTTGGAGGTTTCAGTCCATACTCAGTTGGCTCCAAGGCAGGCAAGCATGGCTAGTCCACAGTTCATGGCGGCTGTAAAACAGCAAGCAGAAACCAGCAAAGAGCAAGACACACCTTCTTCCTGCCATTACATCACATCCTGGCTCCACCCCCATGTGAGTGGAGCACTGACACCATCAATCCAAGCACTAGACAATGAACCATCACAAATGCACAATGCAAACTCATGAGGCCTGGGGGCCACAGACATAAACCATGACACTGACTGTTCTCTGAGAAGAAGAAGAAGGAAGCCTCCTCAGCCTCAGACAAATAATCATAAACCTGAAATTCTGAAAACTCTCCTCCAAGAGGTATGAGCCAAAGACTCACTGTTGGACCTAATCATCAACCATGCTCCTGTAGTGATTTAATTCGACCCCGCCACAACCCCCACTGTTGTTAGACAATATCCCACATCACAGGGAGCACAAACAGACATCAGGCACTAAAGCAGTTCAGGATCCACTATTGGGATCCTGATAAACTGTCACCTTGGAATGTTCCTCTGCTCCTGATAAAGAAACCCAGTGTGAATTAGCAGCCAGTGCAAGATTTTCATGCCATCAACAATGCCACCATCACCTTTCACACTGTGGTTCCCAACCCATACACCATTCTTGAACTGATACTTCAAGATGTCACCTGGTTTACATGTGTACATTTAAAAGATGCCTTCTCCTACTTGTGGGTTGCTCCCATAAGCCAACTACTCTTTGCCTTTGAATGAAGGTCCCTGAGATAGGAGAAGGCCAACTCCCTTGGATTTAATTGCCACACAGGTTTTGAGAACTCATCTACTACTTTAGGGGTGACTCTCACAAGTTCCTATCATCTTCTCTCTGGGAGAGTCTGTTTCTCTGCCCCTTCCAGTTCAAGACTATCTTTCCTTGAATTTGATCCATAAACCACCTGCTTCTGATTGTGAAACATCATCCTGGGGGAATCTGCATCAAACAGTATCCTATGCCACAAGAGACTCAATTAAGAATTAAAAAATATATCCAGAAGCTTCAGAACTACTAGATTTCACTCTTTTGCCTGTAAAGAAACCCAACATGGAATATCATTCAGTTTAGGACCACTGAGCTGTCAGTGTCACCACTGCTGCCCTCTATCCTGCAGTCTAAAACTCTTATACTCTCCTCAGTCTTCTGCCATCTACAGCCTTCTGATACTCCTGCTTGGACCTAAGGATGCCTCTTTAGCCTTTAATTGGCTTCTGTCAGCCAACCCCTCTTCACCTTTAATTGGAAAAGCCCAGTTCAGAACTCAAGTCAACGGATCTGCACTTATGCAAAAACTCTCACCTGATACCTGTGGCAATAAAATCACTCAATCCTGCCATGTACCTACTCACCAAGCTGGGCCCTCCAGACCATGACTGCCTGGCAATAACTGAAGAGCTTTTCTCAGCCAACCAGATGTAAAGAAGAACTCCCTGAGAGAGGCTGAGTACATGCAGTTTATTATTCTGTGATCACTTGGGACAAAGTTCTTATGGCCAAAACCTTCTCTCAGGGATGGGCTTCACAGTGAACTAAACTATGAGACCTCATACAAGCACTCAATTTGTCTGAAAATGGAAAGATCTACTGCTTCCTGCTGTTGTCTGGAAAATCACTGTTAAAGGAGCACCCTGGCATGAAAATACCATACAAGTAAGCCTAGAACTTCTAATGGACATCCTGCCTGACACTGTGATGGTAATCAAAACTCAATTTCCTATTTATACAAAATAAAAAGATGACTGACCAAAACAACAGAGAGCCACAAATGGACTAATACCCCGTTTTCCCACAAAGGTGGCCTACGCCTGGGATCAAAGTCACCACAATCTAACTCATAAATGAAAAGTAGACGTGAGAGAGCTCCTGGGTTCCTACTACTGCATCTCATGCCTGATCAGGATCTATTCCACTGTCTAGCAACTATTCTAAATCTGTGCTCAAAATAAACCAATCCAGAAGACTAAGTCCCCTCTCCAGGGATCCAACACACTGAAATATCTCTCTTTGAAGATATACAAATAGACACTACTGAAGGAAAGCCTTATGAGGGCGACTGATATCTATTGGTGCTTATATACACCTACTCAGGCTGGCCCAAGAAATTCCCTATGGAAACCAAAAGTTTATAGGGCCCTGCTGCAAGAAACCATTCATAGATATGGCCTCTGCTTGACCTTTGGCAAAGACAATGGGCCTACATTTGTGGAAACTCAGACTAGCAGAACTATTAAAGATTAAATGAAAACTACCTACAGCACACAGGCAACAAACTCTATAAAAGCTGAGAAAATAAACAGAACTTTAAAGTAAATTCATACCAAATATCACCAGGAAACACACATCCCATGGGTTGACTTACTCTCCAGGGTGTTATTCAGCATGAAAAGTTCAACCAAATGCACTGGAGACACACCCTTAGAAATCTTATATGGAAGACCACCACCTATTATCTTCCATGGAGACTCCTGCCAATTAGGTAACATAACCCTACAGGGACAGCCTGTGCAATTAGAAAAGTCCTTGAAGGCTCCATAAATATTTAACTAAAAGAACCTGCAGACACCTCTACACACATATATAACAAAGACAACATGATATGGATCAAAAATTGAAAAAAGGAATTTCTATAACCTACATGGAAGAGACCATACATGGTCATACTAACTACCTCTGCAGCTCTTAAAATTTGAGAAATTCAGCCTTAGATCCAATATTCCAGAGGTAAAAGGGCCCAGCCAGACAATTGCTGGAGAATCTATCCAGACCAGACAGCTCCTCTGAAGCTCACTCTGAGCAAACAATGCACTCAAAGCCCTACTCTGGTAACTCCAGAGGCTGACCAATCTATGCATGACTGAACCTCAAGGACACTGTTCATGGGAGTGTTCCATAGGTGAATGTGTGACTTTCCCTTGATTTTTGCAGCTTTTCAAATTTCTTACCCCAATCCTTGCTTCCACTTCAGCTTATAAATATACCTGATATTATATTGTCAAACTTGGATTTTGTTTCCCATTCTTCTGCTGGCTGTGACCTTTGCCTTAGCTCTGCAGATAGTTACCCCAAGAGAATAGCAGCAATTCAATACGGTCCTCCTTATTCTACAGTTAGCTGAGCAAACTGACCAAGATGTGACAAGTTTCCAAGGTGCACTGGACATACTCCAGGGTCAGATTAACTCTTGCCAAAATAATGTTACAGAACTGACAGGCCCTTGATTTATAGATGGTCACTTGAGAGAGACTAGAAAAGAGCATAGGAAAGACAAGCCACATACTCGTGGTGAGAAACTTTCCAATGTTGAGAATCTTGGTTAGGACCCATCCTAGGATCACTGACAGCCATAAAGCTACTACTCCTAGTTGAGTCTTATGTACTTAATTAGCTTACTTGGTTTATCTCAATTCATATAAACTCTATCAAATTCCAAAAGGCAAAGATTCGCAGAGGTACTGAAGAGGGGGAAATAAAATAGAAAATGCTCCCCTCCCAGGATATAAAATGATGTTGGTTCCCTGATGCTATAAACTGGCAGTATGCTTCTGTTTTTGTTTTTCTGTTGCCCAAGTAACCTCCAGTTTAACTCAGTTTCTGTTACTTCTATCTCAGAGAAACAGCTGATCACTGTGATGCAGAGCTGTCCCTATGATACACATTGTAAGAACCAGTTCCCTACTGACAAGCCACCCTTCTTCTGTCCAAGAAATAGGAAGGGCCACACATGATACCTGAGTGTAAGGATACAAAGGGCCTGTTCATAACACCCTCAAGAAATGCCTGCCTGATAAACATAAGGTCCTGAGTTCAATTCCCAGTACAAAAAAGGAAAAAGAAATGGAGCTATTATGAACTTACTGGTTTATGGTCAGTCTCATTGCATCTGTCTGTATTCTATCAAACTCACACTTTATGCCTGTTATAGAAGAGGACCCCACAGGGATCCAGAGACTCAAGAAACACATTTCTGTTCCTTGGTTACTCTACAGTAAGCAAAGGGAGGAGAAAACAATTTGGACAAACAATAAAGTGTTCTGTCTTGAACTGTCATTAAAATTGACTCTGAAGTGGGCTGGGCCCAGGACGAAGCTCTGGCTTCGTGGAACTGGAACCAGAAGGTCCTCTCTGCCCACTCTTCTGGAGGCAACAAGGAGGCTTGAGCTCATGGGCTCTGCAACTGCTGCCCAGCAAAATGACTTCAAACTCCATCATCACCCTGCCCCTGAGTGCACCCTGGTCACGTGCAGGGTCACCTACTGGTGGTCATTAACACAGCGGTACTGGAACCCCATGGCCTTCAATCTCTCCTCCAGGATCTTCACGCTGCCCTCACCACAGGACTCCCTAAAACAGAAAAACAAGTTATCAGCAGTGAATAAACAAAAGGAGGAGAAGAGGACAAGGGAGAAGAAGAGGCTGACTCCAAGCTGAACGTTTCTGTAGAACACCTCTTAGAGGCAACCTGGGAAAGTCTCTGGTCCAAAAAGTACAGTTTCCAGTGAATGCGCAGCGTCTGAGAGGGGGCGCTCTGAAGACACAACACCAGGTGTGAGGCTGAGCTGCTGGAGTCCAGGCAACATTACCCAGAACCTACAATGAATCCTGTGTAAGGGTAAGAAACTGCTCACAGATCAAAAGTAATTAGAATAAGGAAAAGGAGGGAAGAAGAAAGAGAAAAGGAAAAGACATAAATTTTTGCATATATATGATAGCTAAACTGACTAATGCTACGCATTGTATTCGTTATTAGAAAAGAACAGTTAATACTCCTCTGTTTAGATCAATTTTACATGCCTATATCTGTTAATCTAAGCAACATTCCTAAAGGTAGCATTTCCCACCCAGAAACATGGGCCGGTGGTGTAGCCCAGGGGCTGCATGAATAAGGCTGTGACCTACAGTGAATTAACAACCTGCAGTGAATTAAAAACCAGTACACCTTCTGAGTACTGGAAAATAGAGGAAAAGCAGCACTTACTCCAAATCTCCCATCCCACATCCCTAGAGAGAGCTGCTGCCAACACTCACATGCACCGTAGCACACACTTATCCACACTTTTGCTATGCTGATTTTTGTTATACATAGTTAACTCTGGCCCAAAAATTGTTAAGGGGGAAATTCCCAGAACAAATGATTCATGGGTTTGAGATTGCCCAGCATTCTGAGTAGCAGGATGAAACCTCTCCCTCACTGTCCTCTTCCACAGGACATGGATCATCCCCTGGTCTATCATTGAACCCACCACTGTCCATGCTTCCTGTTTATTAGTCACTTAATGGCCACTTTGGTGACCAGATGGACTGTTATAGATAGCAGTCCTTGAGTGTCAATAATCTTCTTGCGGTCAATAATGGTCACAAAGCACAACACTAGCAATTTCATTCAGTTTGGTGTTTTGTTTTGTTGTTTGGTAACTGGAATCAAACTCAGGATATTGTGCTGGCCAAGCAGCTGCTGGACCACTGAGCTACATCCCTGGCCCTGTGATTTCGTTTCAATTACTTTTTTCTCATAAGAGTAGCTAACATCTATTTAGCAATAATTCCTACTACAACACTATTTTATTGACTATGAGCTCCTGTTATTCCTAAAATCTGAGCAGCCCAACACCCCTACCTTTTTGGCTCATGACCTGCAACTCTGTTTAACCTGTGGATTAAACTTCCAAGCGGGTATTCTGACCCGTTGTGTAAATTCTCCCTCAGCAGACATGATGAACTACGATGATGAAAAATTGCAATTTCTTACTGGTCACTGCAGGTAATGTCAAAGATCAAACTTTCTCTAATAGACACATGTAAAAAAATAGGAAAGCCTAACTTCTATTCCAAGAACAGTTTCTCCCAAAAAATAAGAACACCACCGTGGATTTCTCACACATCAGTATCATTTGTCTTCAGAAAGGGGAAATGCTAATCTTAGTAGAACTTGAGTAATATGCAGTTTTCACATTCACTGCAGTCCATTGCCCAAGAACTAAAGAAAATAACACCCATGATATGGTGAGTCACAGAGGAGGCAGGGAACAGATATGCTGGCTTCTCTAGGGACACATATGTAATGGCACATATGCTCCTGGGTTTGGGCAATTCTCTCCTCCATGGAGCATCAGTGCTCTGAAGACCACGGCCTCAGCTTGCAGCCAGAGCCTCACTTCGGCTCCTTCAGGCCATGGTCTCATTGAACATTTCTGAACCAAATAGATTTAACTTATCTGGTCTTCCATTTGTGCCTGAAATGCCCTTTATGGGAGAGAGACACGAGTTCAGCTTGCACTTATACATAAACTCAAGAAGTTTTGCAGAAAGATACAAATCTTAAAACTTTCTTCCCCAGGTTATCTGAGACCCAGTGGTGTGGTTGATTATTCAGTGAGAATAAAACCTTCATCATGGAGTCCTTGGGCGGATTCTAAAGAGCCTGATAAGGGTTTTAGGGTTTCAAATGACCAGAAAGAGGAACTGGCTTTGAACCTCACATATGCACAAGGAACTTGCCTATCCAAAGCTGCCCAAGTCACTCAGAAACAAACCCTGCACTCCCTGGCAGGATAAAGGAGGTTTTCCCTCTGGGATCAAAACTGCCTAGTGGCACTCCTAGAATGCTAGGCCTGTGGCCCTCATTATCAACCCCACCAGAAATAGAAGACTGGCATTTCCCCCAAACTGAAAGTAGAAAGTGGACGTAACTATACCATATCCAAGAAAAACATGATCATCCTCATGGATGGCACCAAGACTTACACATTAGGTCCCTCAATATCATGCATGACCCAGATTTCAATTTGTGTGACTTTATCCTTCTGCAGGTATGGAATTTCAAAATCTGCAAAAAAACAGAGACAAAGGGAGTCATTTTTGTTTTTGCCCTTTGCAGTGCATCCCCAGGCCCCAGCCTGGAAAAACATTGCTAACAGTTCTAAGCACTGGAAAACCTATGCCACCCGTTCCCTCTCTGTCACCATGGGAATCAAATTACCCCAGCAGTCAAGCATTAGATTTTCAGGCTTCATTTCAGAGCTGAGACTCTGTGACCAGGGAGTGGGCGTGGGGTCGCAGTACTGGCTCTCGGTCTCCAAAAGTTGGTCATCACTGTTCTATAGCAAGATGATTCTTTCTCTTTTCATTTTTAGTTGATTTGCCAGCTGCTTTTCAAAAGGGATTGTTTCCTAACTTTTTTTTTCAAGGCACATTTAATTAATATCAGAAGCGTTAGCATGAAAGGCCCAAATCCAATGAAGGAATCCATCCCCATTATCACCAAAGACGTTGCTGTTAACAGGTGTCAGTGGGATGGACTGGGGGCCTCCTAAAATAATGCAGCGGTCTCCTCACTGCGGCCCTCACACAACCCAGCTGTGAAATGAACATCCACCCTGCTTCAACAGGTAAGCCTGAAATGTGACAGCATTCCTTCACTCCTGTGTCATCCCTAGTTCAGATTGCCTCACTTCTGCAACCATTCGAAGCACAAACCATTGATTAAACTACATTGATTCAGGCACCATTAAGTATCACAGTGCTCTGAGCTAACTAGTTAAATATACCTGCTACAGTACCAATATCTGTCACTTCTGTCATGACTAATAAAGGTGCTTACTTGCAAATAAACCCATTGAAGGCGAAATTCCCCTCATTTGAGATACAACCCAGAAACACAACAGTGCTCACGAGGTCCACAGTCTCAGTGGCGAAGCTGATACACGGTGTCCCTAAGTCACTGCGCTCAGTTAATAACAATTACATACCCCATCTTGACACTGAACTGGGATTTCACATGCTCAGTTCATGATTGGAAATATTTAGGTTTCAGTCTTCTAAACTGTCTGAAGACACAACAGGACACAGAATCAAGACTCCTGTTCCTCCCTCTATTTTCTTCAAACAGAAACATTCCTCCAGTGTCTACATGTTTCAGAAGGGGAAATTTTCAAAGTTGGCCTCTTCTTCAGAATCATCCGAAGACTCAGGCCTCTGAGGCAAGGGGAGGGGAAAAGAAAAGAGCAGAAACACAGGCTCGTCTGGTAAGGTTACAGGAGCCACTACACGCTGGACAGTACGTGAGTGTATGTATTCTTTCCTCAGAAAGCCTGAGCCTTGGTGTGTCCCTCCCCAGGTTTCTCCAAGCGCGACTGTCAAAGTCCTGACCAGGGAATATGACTGATTTACCAGTCAGGCAGAAGCTTCCACGTTCCTTTCCAGCTTGTTCTGGTTGGTCTATCGCCTGTTCCAGATCACCTTTCATGTTTAGGGAACACGTGCTGACCCTGGGGTTGGCCACTGTGGATTCCAGCGGGGCAGCACTGGCTGCCAGACTCCCTTGAGGTACTGGGCCGCACCGTGCACACCTGTCCCGTGGTGGTGGTCATTTCTGTTTCCCGGCGTCAGACTCTAGCTGTTGGTGCTTTAGCTTTTCCTCACCCTGCCTTGAGCCAGTCACACCATGTAAGATCTGCGTCCTTGGCTCCAAAGCATGAGCAAGGCTTTCTGTTGCATCCATCCTAGGTCCACTGCGCTCTGCCATAACTGTGAGCTCTGTTTCACTCCGTGGAAACTCTCTGGGACCTTTCTGGGAAGAGGTTCTTCGGTGGTCACTTTGAATCTGAGGAGTCACCTCCAGGGTGTGACTAGGTCCCCTGGGGACGTAGGTGCAGGAGGCTGGGTGACAGATGGGGACCTGAGGCATAAAGGTGCAGCTGAAGTCCTCCAGCGGCCTCAGCCCAGGGCTGGCGTCTGGTAGGGCCCCTTAATTTTTATTTTCAGGTTTCTTTTTCACACATTTATCAGCTACTAATGGTTTAGCTGTATAGACAAGGTGCAATCACCAGGTCCTTCAAGTAAACCTGAATTTACAAAGGCAAGCATTACACTGGGGACTAGGCTAGTTCTCTTTAGCTTCCACTCAGAGCAATTAAATAAATACTTTTTCACCCTCCACTGTATTCACTGGTGCTGAAGTGCTTACCCTTTGACAGGATAGGCTCCTTTTGACTCTGAACCATTCAACATGACATAGATCACCCCAGAACTATCTCTGGAATACTGCAAGAAGAAAGAATCAGAGTCATGTTTTAGCAAGGTAAAAGATGCCTCTTTTTCTGTTAAGAAATGACCTCTTTTTTAGTGACAGTTTTCAACATGGGAAAATATTCAAATGGTTAAGGAGAGAGGAAACTGATGTTTTTTGCAAAGTCAAATGATTTTTTTCTTGTCTTTTTGAGACAGGGTCTTGTTACACAGTTCAGGCTGGCCTCGAGGTCACTATGTAGCCCAGGCTGGTCTTGAATTTGCAATGATCCTCCTGCCTCAGCCTCTTGAATGCTGAGATTACAGGCATGCATTACCACACCCAGTAACCCAATTGTTTTCAAATGTTAAAAATTCATTTACTCAGTAATTCATGTCTCAGATTCTAATTAAAAGATACTGTGAACTACACAACATGGTATCACTAGAGTGAACTAGGTCAAGCTGCCACAGCAAAAGCCTCAAACTCTCAATGACTTTAAACAGAGCCTTCAGCATGCACTGCCTGTTTACCACATGCTCATTGGGGTCTTGCTCAATGAGTTTTCCTCAGGGGCCAACCTGGGGAAGTTTCCACATCTGTAAAGTCATCATCATCAGCAAAGAACGTGATGAATCACTGACCAGTTCTGAACAGTTTCCACCCAGGAGTCACAGTGCCTGCCTCTCAGATCTCACTGGTGGTGTAAGTTGCATGTAATTAGCAAGCCATGGGTGCAGCCGAATGCTTGGTAAAGAGCACTAAGAGTCACCTCAAGCACTGTGCACCAAGATGTGTGTTGCAGCATTATAATTAATACCAAAATATAATAACCAATTTAAAACAACCACAGGGTACTTACATGTCTGAAATAGTAATCATCCATTAGCAAAATTCTATGCAGTATCTGCAGCAGCACAGAAGCGTTTGCCTTCCAAGCAAAATGCAAGACCAGATGGGCAGAGTACAGGCTCTACTAGGTTAAAAATAGCAGCACGGGGATGTAGCTACTTAGTACAGCACTTGCTAGCATGGGCAAAGCCTCAGGTTTGACCCCTAGCATCATAAAATAAGCAAATAAATAAGCAAAAGTCTAGAAACTCCCAAGAAAGTGAGTGCTGAAGAAATCACCAGTTTGGAATACTAATGGAGCATATAATTTCCCTCCTAAAATTTTATACCAGAATAAAGGCCAGATGAGAGTGCTCTAGGATCACTGAGCTATACACTGCTGGGTTTGCTCTCTAGAAAAGTGATGCCCAATATTAGCTGCACCAAAACAACGGTGCCATCCACGTCTCATTGCTTCCAGATAGTACAAACAAAATTAATTCCTCAGTGCAGAGGTCTGAGGAGAATGCTAAAAGGCTTGTGGTAAGGGGGCGGCAGGAGTATGCATGAGTGTCACTTATATTTTCTGTAATTTGTCATTCTCTGGCATGAAAAGTCATTGTATTTTCTTTACTATGTCATGAAGAACACATTTAAAATAACTTAACAGTAGCTAGGTAGGGCAACGCACACCTGTAATCACTCTGTAGCTGAAGCAGGAACATTGCCACGAGTTGGAGGCCAGACTGGGCTACATACAGAGTTCAACGCCAGCCTGAACTACACAGCAAGACTCTGTATCCAAAAAAATTCAATTTTTGGACTTAAGCAGTAGAGCTATTGCCTACCATGCATATCTTGTGTTGGTCCTCAAACCATACACACAAAAAATACTAATAACTTAATACAAAATGAATACTTACCTGCTAAGGTCCAAGCCCTCCACCCACTGCAGACATATCTCTTTCATGCCTACACTCCCCAGCATATTCTAAGGCCTCACAAACTCAAAATCTGTGGGTCCTGTTCTTAGTTCCCATTGTAGCAGCCGGAGAAGTGTAAGAAGGCAACATGACGTCCGGCACAGCGCCTAAGGAGAACTGTGGCTTCTTCACACATAGCATTGCTATGTCCCCTGGGTTTATATCATGATCCCACCATCAGGAGATGACACAGCCATGGGCTCCCAGCCCTGTGTGCGGGGCTCTGGCAGCTGCCACCGTGCCTGGCAGGAACCCACACTCCGGCAACACCCAAGAAAGTGGGGCTGCCAGGAGAGCACAGCCCACAGCACAATGCCTCCCGACTTGAGGGGACCCTGTGCTTAGCTCCCACCTTCAGCCACAGTCTAGGGTTTAGCCAAATCCTTCACCCTGACTAGCGATTGACCCAGGGTGCACCCCAGATCACCAAAGAAGATGGCACCAAAGGGATACAATACTCCTGACGGGGTGGGGAGGGAGCACGCTGGAGCCCACCAAGTGTCCATCTGCCTCCTGGTCAGCACACTGGATGCTTCGTCCTCAGCAGCCAAGCACTGAGCTAAGGATCCAGCTCTCTTTATTTCCAATCTTTACTTAGTCATGGCATTTTACAGCCCTTGAGAACTGTCACTCTGGTGACATTTCCTACGAAACAGATCTATCTTAAGGGGCCTATTTCTCAGTCTTTAGCCTAGCCATAGCCTCCCTCCGTCTCCTCTTCCACTAACATAAGTTCATGAACATTCCTGACCCATCCGTCTGGATACTACGTATCCTGGGGTCTTTCCTGAGGCAAGGATTACCCAGTTTTACATAGCAACTAAAAAATGACATGAATTTAATATTAATAAACAACTACGACATAACAGAAATAATGACTATGTAATGTCCTTATCGCTAGGTAACATTTACTGGATGCTTTTTCTGTGTCAGACACTGCACTAACCTTTACTTTGTTAGCTAGGCATGGTGGTACATGCATGCTACTCCAGTACATAGCGGGTTTGAGGCTGGAGGATTGCTGGACTGAGTTTACTCACAGGAATGTAGCAAGTTCAAAGCCAGTCTGGACTATATCAGGAGACCCTGTTCCCCACCCAAAAGAAAAGAAAAGAAAAGAAAAGAAAAGAAAAAGATGAAAAGGAGTGTGTGTGTGTGTGTGTGTGTGTGTGTGTGTGTGTGTGTATTCTTTTCTTGAATTCTCCCGACTTTATGGAGCAGCGAGAATGGATTAGGATGCTGCAGAAGTGAAAACTGAGGCTCAGAGGAGTTAAGCAGTGGCCTGGGATCCCGGCTCTGAGCCCTGCTCCGTCTTCACAGGTCGCATGGTGCTCAGCCACTGCAGCTTACCTGCATGGATGCCCTTTTCCAGTAGGAATCCACAGCATTATTTTCACAGTCTTCTGACGTAGGACAGGATTGGTAATCAAGTCCAATAAATAAAGTAGACAAACACATTTCTTGTCAAAGATTGCACAGCAAAGAATGAATCTTTAACATTAGCTGGCTCCAGGTTAGCCTGCATCCTGCACAATGTGTACGGATCATTAACCCTTCCCCAGCCTCAGGCTGCCACAGTGGAAACTGAGAGCAGGAAGGCAGAGCAGTGCCAGCAGAGACTCAGCCTCTGAGGCTGCTACCTCACTCTGCTGCCGTTTCCTTTAACCTCATTTCTTCATATGCTAAAGTGGGGACTTTTTTCTAGCTAATGTTTCCTTCTTATTGGCACAGGTTAGCAGTACATAATTAAGTTACTTATGAAGAGAAATTGCATGTACCTAACACATCTTCATTCTTTTTTCTTTTCATCCCTTTCTCCTATCCTCCTACCCATCCTTCCATCTCCTGGTGCCCTTCCATGAGACTTCCTTGGTCTATTGCAAGAATTAAGTGAGTTAATATGCATAGGGTGCCTAGACTAGTACCTAACAAAAGATAAGTGGTCTCTACCTACTACCATGTTGGATTAATATCAGAGAGTTTGGGAGGAAACCAATGAGATAAACACATATGAAAATTCCCAGTACAAATGGCAAATGCATGGTTGTAAGGGCTCTTGCTTTTTCATGGGATGTGCAGGAGTCTTACCAGAGGCATTTTCCTGGCGACACCAGCTTAAGAAATCTCCAAGCCGACCATACAGAACATCACACAGCGGCATAAAGCGCCGCGCATTCTCTGAATAGCTGGTAACGAGGAGATGGTTATTTTCCCAGAACAGGGACTGAGGGGAAAGAAAATGAAATATAAAGGTAAAATCAAGCCAGACTGCTTAGGCACAGTATCATCCAGACAAGTCAGGCTGCCCTTTGCTCATTCAATGCTGGCTTGCTGCAGAAAGACACAACTTTCTCTTTTGTTATCTTTCTGTACCGCTACTGTCTCTCCTCCCTTTATTCCAAGGGTACCATGTAAAGGTTAATTAACTCTTTTCCCAGTAGTGCAAAATCCTTTAGTCCATGTGGTAAAATCTTTGAATTAAAAAAAGATGAAAGAGCTCAGAGTTGCAGTGCACATATCTAATTCTGGTTACACTGGAGGCTGAGGCAGGAAGATGAGAAGTTCAAGGCCAAGAAGGAAAAAAATCATGGGACTTGGGTTAGAGTCTTGGAATCCTGGTTCTGTTGTACACTACATGTGTGTTCTTGAGCAAGACATGGCATGAAATTCTCCAACTCTTGGTTTCCACATTTGGAAATTGGAGAGCATGTGCCTTTTTCCCTCACCTACAGCTATAATTAAGATGCTATGCAACCACAGAGAGCATTTCCTGGAATGTAAAGTCCCTCAAAAAATGTTGTTTTTCTAGTCCACCATTAACAATGTCTTCATAAACAGTACAGATGAAAGCATTCCCTGCCCACTGGATCACCTGACACCTAGTCATTGGATCTGCCTAGTCATTGGGCTCCATGCAGACTGGACAGTCTTCAAGGAGAAGCTGGTTTTCACTGTTACATCCTTACCCCTTAGCACAATCCCTGGCACACAGAAACAGCCAGGAAGTATTTACTGAGCTAATCAGTAAGCCTACAAAATCTCCCAGAGAGGAAAGCAAACATGATGCTTCCCGAACCTTTTACCAAAAGGGAGGCACTGAGGTTCAAAATATAAATGGATCCCTCAAAACCACGTTTATGATCTATTTCACTCTATGCTCCACGACTCCATTTATTTGCCTTGATAACTAACACACAATGGAAAAATCAGGTTAAGACTGATTGTGTTAGAGAAATAAAAAGGGTATCTGTCTTCAGAGCCAAGGTATGATTCTAAGCAAGCATTTTACGTAGATCTCCTCATTTATTTTTATTTATTAAACCTGAGAGCCCAGATAGACTAGAGACCTGTGGTTTTCTTAGAGAAACTAGGACTGAATAAACACAATAGCGAGGACCACTTGCAGAAGCAATGTCTCCTGAAAGAACGACACCAAGGGTTTTGTGAATCATTAGAGCTTGGGCTCCAGGGCCAGTTAGGATAGAGGTCATTCAGAACTGGCCAGATGTGGAGCCCGGTGTGAGAGTTCTGGCTAGATCCCGAAGTCTTTGTGGAGATTTCTGTACTGACTTGCTGACTCAGGAAAGCACTTTTGGTCCACAGGTGGCCAGCAGACCCAGAATCTCTGCTAGAAACAAAACTGCCTCGGCACCAGCAAGTATAGTACCATGCCATATCCCAGTGTATCACCTGGTGTTTCTTCAGCTCTGCAGGCTGCTGGGGGCAGCTGACCCCACTCCTTGCCTGTGCACCCTCTGTCAGATAAAGAAAGAGGGCAGTGATTTATCTGAGATGGCTGTGATTACCTTGTCTCTGGGAATGGAGTGCCTAGACAGGTTAATGAAAAGGTCATAGTCCGAGGGGAGCACAGAACAGGGATCTTTGTCCAGCACCACTTTAAAGGCTTCCCAGATGGCTGTGCAGTTCCTGTCCCTGTGTAGAAGTACAGGTCAAAAATAAAACAAAAGACATCACCATATGCTGTGAAATATTTCCATTTCTTTAAAGGTTCTGCAAGTGATTCTGTCACATGCTGACTGCAGGACCACTCACATGAAAAAGCCAACACACGGTTCAAGCAGCAGATGGAGAAACCAGGCACTGGCAGTGTCTCTCAGAGGCACTGCATGGATTTCTCCAAGTTAGGGATATAGTTTTGCCCCAAGGTCACAGTGGGAAAGGTTATAGACTAGAAGGTGATGATGTTAATAAGCCACACAGCCTCAAGGAATCTTTTTCAGTCCCTTTTCATTGCTGAGGATGGAACTCAGGGCTGCACACATCCTCACATCCCCAGCTCTTGTTCTTTATTAAGGCACAAAAGCGGGGCCAGGCTTATTATCCAGGTCCATCTGGGCTCAGGGCTGGGCGGGACCAGAACAAAAGACAGCAAAACCCAAAGCCAGCACCAGCAATCTGGGCCAGGCTTTGCCTCCCAATGTAGGGAAAGCAGGCCCTGCCCTGACAGAGCCTCCAGCTCCGCTTTTAAGAGCACTTCCCGAAACTGTGGTCCTGTTTCCTTTCTACACTGGGTGGAGCAATATTGATGTTCCTTATTCTAGCCTCTTTTTTTATTTGTCTGAAATGAGTCACAATAAAAACAACTGGCACCTGAAAAGGATATTATGAAAATGGAAAAAGAGAAAGGGTTCCCAAGAAGAAAGAAAAATCAGTAAGCAGCACGGCGCTGGTTAGAAAGAGGAACACTTGAGAGTTGTTCCAACGATGGGATCTGAAATTCCTGAAGCGCCTGGACTGGAGATTCTGGCTGCAGACTGAATACTGGGGTCTGAGGTCCAGCTAAGGGGGTCATTCACACTCGTCTCTCCAGCTGTGGCTTCTAGACTGACACTTTCCAACTATATACTCACATACTGACATCTCACCTCTGGACCACACAGTGCACCTCACCTGGAGACCCCGAGACACACACACACACACACACACACACACACACACACACACACACACACTCATACACACACTCACAGAGCCTGGATTGCAGCTCCGCTGCTCACCTAACCCGCCCACCTTTAGCCCCTGTCTCCCTCTCCACCACCGCCGCTCCTCACCCCAACTGCGGGCTCAGCAGCGTGATGTACTCGGCGCAGCGCCCCAGGAAGATGCTCCGCAGCTGCGGGCTCGTACCCTCCCCGCTCCACCGGGCGCCCGCCGCCAGCTCCAGAGACAGCAGCGACAGCAGCGCGAGCAGCCGCAGCCCTGCGGCCGCGCATTCCCACGCCACCGCCATGGAGCAGACTTCGGTACTTGCGGACGCCGCCCACTTCCTCCGTGGCGCGGGCGGTTCCCGGCGCTGGTCCTGGGCCGCCAGCTCTGCCTCCTCCGCTGCATGGCAGGCCCAGGACAGCTGGGAGCATCATCGCCCCAGCAGGACCATGGCTTTTGCATGGTGTCCTCCAGGGTGACACCAAAAAGACTCCAAGTGGCTGGATAGGTGACAGAATTTTATTCTTCCAAAGAAACATGTTTTTCTGGCTCCAAACTGTAACAACTTTTCTTAAGAGCCAATCACAAGTAGCTCTTGTTTTCGGCACACCATAATTCCCAAAACTAATACTTCTTGAGTTGTTGCCCTGCACCAAGCACTGGACTCACCCAGTGCGCGTTTACAGTCACTGTCTCCTGGCTGGGCTTGTAACTGTCTGTCCTCCTTTTAAAGCTAGGTAAACTCAGGACGGAGAGTAAGTCCACAGTGTCACTCACGGATAGATGCAATATCCTGGAGACAATGAGCTTAACACAGTCACCACGGGGCCCCCGTGACGACAGTCCCTTCAGAAAGCTCGGGACACTCCACAGAACCGTCCCATGACACCCGCTGCGACAGTCACTTATAGAGGGCAGGAACACATTTAAATGTCAGAATGAAGGTCTCTCGAATTAGCTCAAATTGATGAAAATATTTGGCACTGCTTTCAAAGAGAAGTGAAGCCTCCACAGAATACCTCCGCAGGCAAAGGCTAAAGAGAAGCGAGGAAAATGTGAGTGGCTTGCTGCACAACCGCATCTTAGTCTTAGTTCGAGAGTCTGCCTTGCAAAGGGAAGGCCCAGTATCAAGAGCAATGCGCAAAGCCAGAACAGATGCACACAGGGAGAAGCGGAGGCCGTCTGCCGCATGGAAGTCCCAGCTTCACCCATGAGGAGGAACCTCATGCGCAGGAGGTCACCCAGAGCCCTTCCCCACTCCTCGGTGGCTCACCTTGCTTTAGATTTGGCGAGGGTAGGCACTGGGCCGAGCACGGAGGAGAGGGCACTGACTTCCACGCCCAGGGCTGAGAGCTGAGAGAGAGCCAAGAGCAAGGACTGCAGCATCACCCGGGAGGGCTGAGGAGCGGGCCAGGAGAGGCCAAGAGAGGCTCAAAAGGGCTCGGAGGGACAGGGACCAGAGAGGCAGGGCGAGGCCGACAGCAGGGGACGCCGTGGTGCAGGGCAGGTGCCCAGGAGGAAGGGTGGCAGGAAAGACCAGGAAGGCCCCGAGGGGCACTGTGCACTTTCCTGAGATGTTCAAACAAATGTTCCAAGTGTGACTCGGTGTCTGGTTATTTCTGATAAAATATAAAAGAGAACAAATAGATTGAAGGCAGTATGTAAAAATGGAACCAGGATTTTATGATTTAGGAAATTCTGTGTACAGACATCGGTTAAAGTCGGAATTCTATTCCCACAGCTAGGTCATTAAATGAATTAGTTGCTAAATGAGAAATTCTATGTAGTGCATACAATATTCAGAACAAAGAAACAGTCAGAGGATACTCCAGCTTGATGGCTTTGCTATTTGCATGACTGTTTTCTCTGTGTGTTTTTGTTTGTTTGGTTTGGTTTGGTTTTTTGAGACAGGATCTTGCCTATATCATTCAGGTTGGCCTTAAACTCATGGAGATCCTCCTGCCTCAGCCTCCCGATTGTGCATAAGTCTTACATACAATACTGTAATGTATAACAGAACATACACTAGTGTTCCATACAGTGCAATCAGCAAAAATTACAGTACTGTATAAAGTGTACTGTACCAAAAAAGACATTGAGGCTCTAGCAACAAGATATAGGGAACTGTAGGAGAAAAAAAGGCAGGTCATCCATCTGACACTGGGTTGTAATTCTGAAGGCACTGAAGAGAAAGGTCACTAAGGGAAGAATGTCTGTATTCTGATTGTAAAACACGCTGAAGTTAATGATATTGCCAGGTATTCTTCTTTTTAAAAATTCAATTTTTATAAGAATTAAATTGTGATTAAACAGCGAAATGCATCATCATCATTTTTAAATGCATTACAGTGTTTGATCACACAGAGGGATGAGGTATGTGACTCACGGTGTCTTCAGACCGTCTCAGCAGAAGCCAGGAGCAGCTGGCGTTATTAAGGGGAGACCTGCGGAGGAGTTACTCCTCTAACAGTGTGAACCCTGGTTACTCACAAGGCTCCTAAGACTTGAATTAAGAAATGCTGATTAAACTGGACTAAAGGGACAGAGAGGAAGAAAGGAAAGGCTGTTCAGTTCCTGAGACTCTACTGGCAGGAACAGGCTGATGAAACCAGTGAGACAAGGGCTGTGCTGTTAAAAAAAAAAAAAAAGATGATTCAGAGAGCGGAGCTGTAGAGAGCAGACAGAAACCACCCAACAGTCATTCCCAGGCTCTGAAAGCCGGTGAAGTCCACCCAGGTGGACTTGGAAAGGATGTTGCTTGTGACTCCTGTCTTTTGTTTTCTCCTTTTGAATGAGATTTTCTATTGTTATCCCACACCTGTGTCCCTGTTTTGGAGTGCAGGGCTTGATGTCTCATCCTCCACATCTGCAGCTAATAGTTTTGCTCCAGAATGGAGTGGACAGACAGCCAAACCCACATCTGATCACGGTGATTTATGTATGAGCTTTGTGTCTTTTGAGCTGAGACTTAGGTGAGATTTCGGATGAGCTGATGCCATCATTGTCGAAAAGTTTGGGGGACTGTGGGATGACTGAATGCATTTATCCTGTGGGACAAATGTCTCTGGGAGCCAGAAGGTTGACATGACAGGCTGAATAATTCACTCTCCTCACACACACACACATACCCTCAAGATGTCTACATCCTAATCTTTGAGGGCTGTGAATGTAAGAAAATAGTAAGAGATTCTGCTGAAGCAACACATACGCAGATTCAAAACCTCTGAGTTGGACATAATTTATTAATCACAGCAAAAAGTAGCAGTGAGCATCACTGGGTCACTTCCGTCATGCTCTGTCCCCAGATGATTCAAGGGTCAGATGTTACCCCTGCATACAGCAGGCCATACTTGGAAAATGTGCCCCAATTTTTAAAGACTTGGTTGGGGTTTTCTTGTTATTGTTGTTTTGTTTTCGTTTTGAGACAGGATCTCAAAAACGTGATTACCCACGCTGGCCTCAAACTGTGATCCTCCTAGTTCAGCCTCCCAAGTACCAGTGCTGGGATTAGAGGCAGGCACCACCACACCTGGCAGCCCTTCTGTTTTTATAGAGCATTCATTCCGGGCTGTCAGGGTGACAGAGACAGTAATCAAAGCATAAAATGACTAGAGCGTGTACTGCAAAGAAAACAGAATAGAGAACTTAATTTACCTTAAAGAGATTAAGAAAGACTTCTCTAGGAAAGTAACATTTAATTTAACCTTAAACTCTAAAATAGTTGACAGTCTTTTAACACTTCACTTTTAACACTTCACTCAGTTCTCCTGTGTTTAAACCCTTAGACAAAAAGCTAGAGACCCTATAATGGTCTACAAAGTCTTCCATGATTTAGTCCCCCAAAACGTCTCTGAACTCTCTTCTTATTACTATTTATTTTTACTTATTTTGAGGCAGGGTCTTGCTATGTAGTTCAGCCAGGCATCAAACTTAGAGCAACTCTCCTGCCTCAGTCTCCTGAGTGCTGGGATTACAGGTCTTCACCACCACACCTGGCACTACTGATTTATAGTACTTACTATCTTCTAAAGATTTTAAAGTTTATTACATCTGTGTCTCTCCCCTTACCAAGACATAAACTCCACCAGAAAATAATATTTTTTCTTCACATTTGTATCCCAAATATTTCTAGAATTCCTGACTTCCAACTGATTTTTTTGTTCAATGAACATAAAGTCATTCAATTTCACTAATATTTAAATATAACAAAGGTATCATACGCAATGTTATATTAAGATGTAAATATAGCAGAAAATATTACAAAGTAACATTACAAAATAAGAAGAGAAAGCTAAGGAAGAGTTTATTTAATAAGTGGAGTATGCTTGCCTGTTCATCAATTCATCCCAGTCTGGAACACAAGAAGATAATGCTACTCACACATCTGCTGCACCATTCAATCCATTTCTTTAATTTCAATGGGATTAAGATGGAAAACCGCAGTTCACACCAACTACTTGCTGTGAATGGCCAAGATAATCTATGTAGAAAGAAAAATCTTCCTTCACCTTAATCCGAAATGCTGATAATTTTTCATAGTCCTTCTTCAATGTTTATGAGGAACTGAGCTGTGGTAATTCAGTCTCTTCTTCAGATAGTAAGTTTAACTCAATAGTCAGTTCAGGGCTTTGAAAAGCAAAGGGATCTTTTACCCAATTGTTTTCCTTTAATGTTTCAAATTTCTCTTTTGGAAAAAACATGGTTAAAAGTTTGAGACAGAGAAGCCAGACGCAACATCATCTCTGATTTCCTTGCTTTCAAATGTCTTTACTAATAATATTCTTCCAACATGTTGCAAACCCTCAGAAACAGATAGCAGCTAAGCCCACTACTCTTAAGCCTTGCTTGCCATAACCATGTATTTTGGAATACTTGAACATGTTCGGGATGGAAATATCACTGTCTTTCCCCTGGAGTTCTAAACTCAGATCATTATGAATGCCAACAAATCAGTTAAATTTACCAGTGTCATCTTAAATATCATTCTTAAAAATATTTGCCAAATGAGATTTTTTTTATATATATTGGAGATTGAACTCACAACCTTGTGCTTGCCAGGCAGGTGTTTATGTCACTGAGCTAAATCCTCGGCCCGATATCTTTTCTCCAGTGAGGAATATGTGAACCTCATTTTTGAGTTCATAAACCCTGCCATAGTATTTTTCCTTGAGACAAACAGCAAACTTTGACATGATATAATAAATGGGCATAATTACTTCCCATTTCTGAACAAAATATTTTAAGAAGTTGGCTATTCAATGAGCCTTCTTTAAAAAGATTAACAACTCTTTCCACATTTTTCAATACTTATAGGAGACTGGAGTTTCTCTGGAAGCTAATACTTCAC